TGACAGAATTTAGTCAGGCATGATGAGACTTCCGTTGATCCATGAGAAACCTCAATTATTCTAATTTCTCTACACCTATCTTAACTTGTAGCTAATACCAAAAAGCAGTTTTTCCATTCGGTATCTATTCCGGTTACAATCGATGCGTATAACGATATTTTTGTCTCGAGAAGCAGTTTTTTTTCAGTCCCTGCGTACGTACTAGTACTTACAGCGATATTCGCCTTGTAGGTATATATACAGACTTTCAGTGTTACAAGTGCCCTCCGTAAACGAATATGATATATTCTCTACTCATGAATTCATACTGACAATTGGTCGTTATATATCACTTGAAATAATATATTAATAGCCATATATAGGCCACATATATTCAAGTACGCCTAGTACTACACAGCGATCGCCAAATCCATATCGCGCACGTATAACGTCCCCAAATTTACTACCAGAGACTGTTCACTAACATTTGTAGCTCTAAGTCTAAGGGATCTACCAGACACACAGTCGAAAAATAAATCATCTAGCTTGACACTCTTCACCTTTGTACCAATGTGTCGAGTGATATTACATGACTAAATATACATCAATATAATGAAGAATGCATAATATTGAAGTAAGAAATCTAAGGATACATATCATAAAAGATTGTAGAACTAATAATAACATGATTTTAAGTTTTATAAATATTTCTCTCAATCATTCGGGTAAATTTCGTCATGCACTATCACTCGATCGTCTACAGTGTCCACAGTTCCTGCGTTGGCGAGAATTACGCTCAAAACGACGCAATCAACTAGACGTCTTCACTGGGGTATGGTGCTCATGGGCGTATGCTGCAACAACTGATAACATCAAAGATGAGGACAGAATATATGAACTAGGATATCAGCAAACAAAGCATATAGATGCAACTCTCTGTATCAAGTAAAGGCTTTTGCTCTCTTGACTAGCTTTCTTAATTTTGCCGATTACTTCTCGCAATCAAGGAAAGCAACATATCCCCGTGTATACCATATCCCCATGAAGGCGTCTATTTTCGTAGTAACATAATAGGAAGATAATCCCTACAAATTGAGTTCGGCCACCCCGAGACATCGTCGCTGCTCTCCCCTCCTGCCAAGCTACATGATATCCCCTTTTCTTTCATCGAATTCCCTACAAGTTGTTACTCTCCAGACCTGTTCTTACTAGAATGTAAATCTCGTGATCAATATGAAACTGACTCGAGTCGTTTTTGCCACCGGCTAAAGTATGTATGCACAAATATTGGCGATGGTAAAGGACATGTATTACCTCCCCCGGCCACTCCCCCCAATGCCGGCCGGCCTTAAGCTTACGCTGAAGGTCTCAGCTTCCGAATTCCGGAATGTAATATCCGGCCACTAGAAGTTTTAGACAGAAGTATGAGCGCTGCTGACTTCAATTTTGCCAACTATATCTTAACAACATAGTTGTCTTCGAGACAATCATCCATCACAACCACCCCTAGAGCGGATTGACGCAATTGTAGTATAGTGCACTAGCGGCGTTACCTCCGACTAAGCCCCAAGGTAGACCTTTGAAGCGGGTAACCCCCTAAATCTCAGAACCACTGCATTGCGGTATTGAGATCTGAACGATCGCGAGTTATATCAAAGATGTCAGTACTATAGGGCACCGGCTGTCAACAACACTGACCCATCTACGCACGTATCAAAATCGCACAGTTTTAGTCATTGAGAGAGTAGCCGCCCAAGTGATCTTTCGAGTCGACCTTTCGCTTAGCAATCGCGGGAGTATTAACGGCACTAGCTAGCCCTCCCTCGCCCTTAATTGGCATGTCGGATATCCCTTTGAGGCACCATACGTAGGCCGAATCAATCACAAAATTAAGAAACCAAGCAAAGCCTGCTTTGACCGATATATCAGGCGCCGTCACATAATAAATGTCAACCACTAAAATAAATATCTGAGATAGATGTTCAATTTGATCCTTTGTTAAAACTATGGCGGATTTACTCATATGCATAGAGGAGAGCGAGAGAATTCGAATAGCTCGAGCTCTATCATAGCAAAAAATCTTAGGTGAAGACTCAAGCTTAAGGGGGCAACCTAGAAAGGACTAGCAGGTCCTTAGATTGGATTAGTCCTGGGCTATAATAGGTGGTCAGCCAATGATGTTTTTTTAAAAGTGGAGCAATACTAGATTTCGCTCACTTTCTATGAGCAGATTCGCAGATGCCCGATCAGCTAGCTTGGTGATCAATCCGCAGCTCTAAACGGCCAAAGACCCACCATAGCGAAACTCTGTGGCGAATGCGCAAATTTCTTAGGGAAAGGGCTATACCAAATCGAATAGACGATTCCCGAATAACGTATTTTCAGACCCACAGGTCATTTTTACGCCTTTCCCGCTTGGCCAACGCTGACTCTCTCACGACTGCACATTGGCGCCTGGACAGAAAACTCTTGACCCGTGTAGGATACTACACTCGAGATTTCCTGTTTTCTTCAACCTAGGTGATAGGTCCTAAAGGGAAGTACCCCAAAACATGCATTATATACTAGGTTCCTATGCTTGGTTGCATGCATAAATACATTGATCCATTGGATAAGCATCAGTGGGGGCATGGGCACCAATCAGATATAACACATCTATTGAATTTGGGCGCTCGTAAATGAGCGCTTCAATCAATAAACTAGAAACTATAGCTCCCCTTTCTTTAGCTTGTTCTTCAGCAATGGCTCGGCGTAAGCCACATTCCACTATTCTGACTTCTGTCTCTGTTGCATGAAACTGCGGTTATTGTTTCTAGATATCATGAAGAGAATAATTTGTTAGGTTTAGTGCCCCTTCTTTCTTTTTTGTGATGTCATATGAAATGAATTCGAATATATGCCCATACACTACACGAATACGTATAGGCATGCTAATGGTTGCAAAAGTTAGTGGATCCTAAGCTCTTAGATTGTATTTGAGATGAATTTGGCCAATCGTTAACTCGTGATTTCGATTGCATCAAGTAGTTACTAGAAAAATTGTTTATGCACAGCGTGGTGTGTTGAAATTTTAATCAGGTCTCCCCTTTCTTGCCTGAATCATTATCGTAAGCATCAGGCCTTAACCGTTTTTACCATATCAGAGACTGGTAGCCGCATCGCCGCAGGTAATAGAAGATAAATCCTTGCGCAGGCACGTTTTTGACGATAAAATAGTGGGTTCACTATTCAAATAATCGGGATTGTGGAACTTGTGGTAGTGGTGGTGGTGGTGGTAGTGACACTGACCCGCCGGTAGATTTGGAGATCACGTATCTTCAATATTGCTGAGGCCCTCGTATCTAGCTTTGAGCCAATGCATGAACCCTTGATTGAAATATCTTGAAACCAGGGAAGTGCACGCTCATTGCAAGACAACAACCGCATTTCGACCTCCCGACCTCCCGCCACACATGGCCATGGGTCTGGGCGGGGCCATGCACTACATGAACACTACATGTACATAAGCAATGGCTACGGTGTTCCGGGCGTGCATACCAAGCTTCTTGATCTTACCGGCAACCAGAGGAAGCCTAACTGCGGGCGGGAGCTAGTTACCAACTGCTCTACCTGTTCAACAAGATATTGGACCAACGTCTTTGATATCCCGCATAACTGAAAGCCAACTGGGCTAACTACCTACTAAGCTACATTTAACTTGTCCACACTCTACTGCAATGGTAAAAAGGAAATAATCCCTTTACCAGAAGATGGGATGGCCAGCAGACATACAATGATAATATGAACACCACACAACCAATGCAATCTCAGCCATAAACATACAACAGCCCTCCGACCCAGTACATAGTTATTATCATATATGCAAGCCCGAGCGAAAGCGGGTCTCGTGCTCCATATACATATTATCTGTCTAACTAACCAAATTGTTGTGATGACGATGGCCATAATGTTGTTCCATTAGATCCAACCCCCCCCCCCCCCCCCCTCCACAGCTAGGTGGGGCCTGTGGGGGGAGTTCTAATATCAGCAAGGATAATGTACCACTATTGGCCCTCTTCATACTATACATATGGGGGTACGTAAGTACTCCCACAGCCCAGGTAGTTAGAGCCTAGCTACTCACTCGAACCTATAACTGTTTACTATCCCTCAGTTAGCCGCAGCAGCAGCAGGTGAGACATAGGGCGTCTCTCCACACAGAAGGGTCTCCCCCGATCTGTGCCCTCAAGCCAAGCGAGTGCCATGATCGCGGACCAGATCTCTCAGTCTAAAACATCATGAGACACACTTATGGGTTCTGATAAATCTAACTCGCATGAACGTTCTTTCCCTACCCAGCACAGATGGGCCCACACTGGGCCGAGGATACGTCTATAGACGCCACTCTAGCCCTGAGATGTTATGGATGAGGGTGTAGTGAGATTGCAAATCGAGTCGATATCAAATATTAGGTTCTCCCGTGAGTGATATCTGGTGACTCAGCCCCCTTCCGACTGCGTTTCTCGGAAATTAACCACGGGTGGCACATTAGCGAGCGGGTTTTAGCAAATGTTGCGTAACCTCAAACATATACATTTTGTGAGCTTGGGGCACCATATCCACAGGGTTGTTCGATCGATATAAGACATCACCCATCTACATCTTCTTTCAAGGAGGGAGAAAGGGAGCCGGGGTACACCCGCCTTGGCTTGCCCTAATTCATTAGATACGATTCACCGAGGGAAGATCGATCATGAAAACGTTCTCGCCGCCGTTCAAGTGGTACGTACATAGAAAGTAATCAAGTATGAGCAGCTAATTCTGGATTAGCAACGCCTATTATACTCCCTAGGATCCTACATGTATCTACTTGAATACCTCACGTGTAGAGCGCTGACGACATGGCAATAGTAAGTCAATGATCAACTACAGTTGTATCTGTACTCAGTAAATGTAGTATGTATGGATATATGTATTTACCTCCAAGAAGGACTGAAGAAGAACTATATTTCTTTTCCTTAGCCGAATAGACCCGAAAACTCATGTGGGTATCACCATCAACATCATCATCATGCAACGGTTCCAGCCGTCGTGATCCATCCCAACAGCAGGGTCTGTGTCCAAATCTCCGAGCCATCACGCCAACTTCGCCATGCTTTTCGACAGGAAACAGCCGCGAACTCGCCGCGGAGTTGCTCTACTTCAGTGTTCAAAACTACATAGTCAGTGGCTGGGAGTGGCTTTACCTGTGCCTCGTGTGTGAGCGTGATATTGAGGGTGAGACAAGATTTGAGACCACACTGCTTGACCCGTTCCTATATTACAAGAACTAATCGCCACTCTCTGGAATCTAGATCAAATTAAGTGTCCGTGCGAACGGAATTTTTCTGTTCAGCGCGGCGTCGGGCGTCGGGCGAAGCAATCGGGCGAAGCAGAATGTTCAACCAAAGATATTACAATATCATACTTGGCAACAAGATATATGCGTGAAATTTATTGTATGGTAGGTCGAGTAGTTATCTGGATGAATCAATGAATCACGTCAGTCAGCTCTTCGCTTCCATTTAGCGTGGGGAAGCGGGTAAGGTGACAGAAAAAGAAAAGAAATAATGTATCTACGCATACATACCTACATGTATGTATGTACCTACTGGAGGACACCTCTGAGAGTGTCTCAAGCAATCTTTAACTGACCCTGGCTCTTTGAATAGGTATTTCCCACCCACAAATAATTGGGCAAATGCCTTTTTGCCTACCAATAAAGAGACTGTTAACCTTTTTTACGTGCTAGCACCAGGGACACACGTCCATGGCCATACATCCAGTTGATTCCAGTTGAGAACCTATTCGGTCAGTTTCTATGGCTAGAGTATAGATTTATTGGGTATTTTTTCCTACCTTCCTGACCATGAATCTCACCATAAATAGATCAAGATAAGATTTCAGACCGCTTTGGATCGCTGGTGGACACTTAAAATCCGATCACACCTAACTGCCCTCCAGTGGTAACAGGTAACTTAATTAAGAGGTACATAAATCCAAGTGGCCTATGAAAAGACGTTATTCCCATGCTCTAACTACCCCGCACAAAGCTGCCAAACCCTGTAAATCTCGATCTGTGAACAAGGAAATTTAAGAGTTAACCATGGGAAGAATATTTGCCAAGAAGGATCTTACAAGACGTATGTAATAACCACTTGTACAATTATGGGATACAAAGTTGATTAACTTGTCGACAACCTGCTCCAGGTATGCTCCCTATGCTTCGAGCTTGAGTAATCATGTTTCAAAAGTTTGCAAGAAGCCAAATACCAATAGGATGTGTGGTCTGATCCTCGTCTGGGAATCTGGAGACAAGTCACTTTACTTTGTCTTAGATGGTCATGACGATGCAAAGACTATGATTGGGAATGAAAGCTACATATACACAAAGGCCTATCATCAATTCTCCCCGTCATGACTCTTCCTCAACAATACCTATGGCGTTCTTAAGGTTGCCGCCAAATATGGCTCAGGCTCTACGGACGTACCGGTTGTGGAATCTATTGCATAATTTCTATTACACACGATCAATTTTGGCTTTCGTTAATTCCGCTTAGGCATCATTTGTTAGGCCCATCCATCACCAGCGGGCCGACAATAGATCGGGGTCAAGCATGCACATCGTCTGTTACACAAGGCCATAAAGCTGATAATGCATACCGGTTAGGTGCAGGTGTACGCTCGATCTTCAGATGAACCCATGTTCATTACTGATGATTTTCGAATTTTGGGGGTATTCAGTGACCAAAAGGTAGTGTCAGGCATAGTAGGAAAATCCTAGGCCATTTTTTCCAACTCGATCGGTCAGGCCTCCCCTATCCCATTGGATTGGGCAATGGTTTTATTTTGAGTACAAAAGATACCACTCTCTATGCGTACCAAGGACTTCGTAAGACCCTTTTCCGTTTTACCGAGTAATTACTGGTGTTGTCTCGGGCACATATCAAAAACATCTATCCGCTGGAAAATTTCCGCCACGTAAGGTGTGTGTGTGTGTGTGTGAGTGCGCGTGTGAGTGTGTGTGTATGTGTGTATGTGTGGGTGTCTATCCCAGTCAGGAGCGGAACAAGGAGATACCGCTGATATGTACTTCACCTAATACATAAAATCTCTGTTTGATTAACAAAAAAGTAAATAATAGAATCTTACAAAACCAATAAACATAGTCTCTGACCCGCGCCCCCCGTTTGCGCCGTTAAAAATGAGAATCTAGAAAACTCTTCAACTCACCCATATGTAAAATAACTTTCAGGAAATCGCTACCTCCATTTCCATGTAGTTGGTCTTATTCACCAGTTTTAAAAAGCAAAATTCACGAGTCTACCACATCCCTTCTGCAAAATCTCCTCCCAACTTATTTGACGTAGGCACTTCAGACTATCATCTTCCCAAGGAGACGTCATAGCAAATGACCATACCTCCCGCCCACATTGTTCTTCACATATCTCATGTAGAATATTCCTTAGCCTCTTGATATTATGGCCTAGGCATTCTCGTTCTAGAAGTGACAAAAATCCTACAGCAAGTTTTTTATGACTTAAAGATGGTGAGAGGATCCCTACGAGGAATAAGGGGAAAGCCAAATATTTAAGTTGAAATGGCCTTTCTTGGCAAATATTAGTCTTGGTCATGGTTTGACTTATTATTGCAGAAATTGCCTGGTCGATTTCATTCTTTTGGAATGAAGTGAGGATGGTGAGCTGTGATGGGTACATGCTTGCATAACCGTAAAGTATGCATGCGTGAACAAAGGCTTGTGCCTACCAGTCACCGTTTTGTCAGTACTTAACTATATTATATTTAAATAGAGTGAAGGAATGGTGTAAAGTTATCACCTCTTCGTAAAGACTTTGTAGAACAAGGCTGCACTGCTCGTAAGAGTTCTGCTTCTTAAACGATCCTACAGTTGCAGCAATTTCTCTCCATAGTAAACTCTTCATTTCCCCATGTATTTCCTCAATTTTTCTTTGTCGATAATCACATTGTCCCGGACTTAAAGTCTGACCGGAAGCCTCATTCCGGAAGCCCCGGGAAAGTCTGGCCATACTTGCTCCGAGAAGTATGATCTTTTGGTTGGCCCTCATAGCTGTTACAAACGCATTTTTTTCTATTTCCGAGACGCCACCTTTTTTTCTTGTGAGAGTAGGCGGTATCAAAAGGTGCACATCTGGAATGAGGTTGTTTTTCTCCAATATTTCAGCCAGTGCCCCGTTCCCATTCGCGCTCAAAGAGGCGTGTGTGTCGATCACTACTAGGGACCAGGTGATAAATGGTTGTCGGTCGTCTGTATTTGAGTCGGGCCTCGACAACAGGATTCGAACCATCTGATCAAGATGACTTTGCCACAGACAATCGCCCCCTAGCTCTGCCGCCGTGATCTTGGAATTGAAGGTTAGAGAATCCTTAAAATCTTATGTATCTGGGTAGAATTACCTCGTAGACAAGAAGGAAAAAATGTGTGGAGAACAACGCATCTATATCGACATGCATATCTTCACATACCGGAAGTGCACGTTGTGCACGTTCTAGAGCCTTGACATTCGAAATCCCGTTTTCTCGGCCATAATTCTGTGCCGCCAGCGCCATCATTGCCTCATGTAGCTAAGAGATCAGCAAAATCTTTGGGACTCAACTTGGTGCCCTAAACCACTTACCCGTGGGTAATTCTTGCTTTGCCGCTCAAAGATATCTGGTGTATCTAGCAACAGCTGAGTATCGTCCCATGTCCCAGCAAATCCTTCTTGTATTATCATGAAATGCAACGAGATGTATCTTTTGTAGTGCGTCGCATATATCGCGTCCTCATTTTCGGCGGCCTGTGATGAATGGTGAAATGATGACTCGCCCATAAGAGAGCTGCGTCGTGAGTTATCTGATGTTTCTGGTGAGAAGGATCGTTTTTCCTGTTTCTGAAATGAGGTTTTGGAGTGCGTTGGGGAACTTAGGTCTTCGAAATTTCGAATGAATACCGTTTCCGAATCATCCGTTATGACGCTTTCATTGTCCGTGTAGCCAGTATTATTTGGCCAAACTCTCTTGCCAAAATTCGGAAGATCCCACGTGATTTCATCCTCTATCCTATTCTCTGATTTGATTCCAGGTGTTGTGCAAGGCGAGCTGTCATTTTCGCCTTCTGTTTCTGAGTCCTGGCAATTTTCAAAACTTTTGGGCCCTAGGATGACATGATATGTTCCTGGTTTGTTGAGGATCGCTTTGAGTTCTCGTTCTTCATCATTCGACAGGTGTGGAAAGGGAGGAAGCAGCTTCGCATCGGCCAGCTCCTGTAGAGTTGGATTGGAGAAAGAAACCTGTGCTATGGCGATGGTTAGAGCACGGACTAGATCGACTTCGCTGATTTTAGGAAATTTGGAAAGCCACATACAATCCCATACAACACTGCCGACTATACTGACTTCGGCATTTCGCTGCTTCACTCGATTTGTATCATCTCTGAATGACAACCGGCGGGTGTAATCACAATCGTGTTGCAGTCGATCGCATTGCTATCAAACGAAACTTGAATTAGTACCCATCGAAGCACGCGTGGAAGAATCGCGATGATACTCCTCCTATTTGCGGGTGTACTTACTCCACATTTTGGATGCATTTCGTCGCATTTCACCTTTCGAGACTATAAGGTTGATTAGCCCCAATCAATTAACATTAGAGTATAGTAGGATGGTGAAGTACTCGGCATGTCCTAAGTAATGGTTTTAGCATTTCCTTCCCTACATATGCTCCAGTGTGGGCGGGGGGAGGGCATGATGAAACTTACCAGCACCCATTCCTAGACCTCGGGGGTAGTTTGGGTTTTGGCAAAACCGCATATGTGTCCATTGAAAGGGCATTGAAAGGTTGAAAGACCGACAGGCTTTTTTTGGGTGCGATAGCGATCGGGGGAGCTACAGGACGACTCCCTAATACCTGTCTCCGAATACCAGAATTTATTGGGGGAGAGGCGGATGGAGAGGAAGAGGAGGGGGACGAGGCGGAAGATAAAGAGTGTCGATTTGCCCCAAGGAAATCCTCGGCTCGTTCGACTTGATAAGAGTTGTGGAAAGGACTTCATCCAAATGTCAGTGTATTATTCTCCCCCCCCCCCCCCCCCCCCTTAGGCCCTCTAGAGCAAGGTACCGCCTCTAGGTTAATATTTGAATCGGGGAAACTCACACATTAAAGTAATCCCCAGTATTATCAGGGAATGACATGCTCTCACTCTCTCTTAATCTCCTTTTTTTTTTTTTTTTTTTTTTTTTTACTTTTTCTTGGTTTTTTTGGAAGACAAACTGGATTAATAGGCCAGCAGTTGTAGCAGTTGTCAAGGGCGATAGAGGGATGAATATAGACGAAGGGTAAGATATTTGCTTCACAAAAGTTGAAGATTCTCGAAGAACTTGATGACCGAATTATTCCAGTGAAGAAAAGTCCCACTTCCCAGATAGAAAAAAAAAAAAAAAAAAAAAAGAAGCTAAAAGCTCCCCTGCAATAGTAATGATAATGAAATAACCCGAAGATATCCCGTGCTAGATAAGGAAGAAAGAAAAGAAAGGAAGAAAGAAAGAATAGGTCAAGTCAAACGTCAAATTCAAAACTGCGCTTTAGGATGGAAGAGGGCAACTACTTCATCAAAGTGATCGAGTTATTTGTGTTGAACAATTGTAACAAGAGACAAATGTGTCAAAGTCAATGTGAAGTAGAGGTGGAAAGACGGAAGTGCGTCCCCTTAACTAATTTATCAGCATCGTACTTACTATAACCAGGGGATATCTTGAACCTCTTATCCACAAGGACTGCGCCTGCGTCCCCATCTACACCAAAGATACAAGACACAATTCAAGAAAGCATTCAGAAAGAAGTAACAATAAAAAAAACAAAGATAGCCTAGCCCAGTAACTGGTATCCTACAATACAATTGCTCCTTAAACTTGTGGACGGGCGCGCCCCCGGTGGAAATCGCCGCAGTAATAGCTAGTGCGTGTACATGCGAGACAGGAAATGTGAGCTCTCTTACCTTGCGGTCAGGCAAGCTGCACAGACAAGCCAGAATCCTAGTGTGACCGCGGATGATCTAGAGAAATAAAAACTGGCTGGTTACACATGCGTTTTCGTGGGGTAACCGTAGGCAACAAACAAAGATACCGTGCACTAGATCGATCGAGGATACAAGGGTTCAAGGGTGCTCCCCATGCGATGGTCATGCAGACTTAAACCATACGCCATCAACTAACACCAGCGGGATTCCAGAATCTAGCCTAATTCTTCCTGTTCACGGCCCATCTTGGCAGGCACGTTCCAAACCCAAGGGAGGGGCGGTCTTGAGCGTCGGAGAAAAAAAAGTGGTTGTCAAAAAAAGCTAATGTTAAACTTGGTGATTGGTCAATCTCTGCAAATTCCTTCAAGGATCAATTAACCAGTGGCACTAGGATAAGTATGTTTAAGGCACGTTGTAGAATACAGAGTAAATCATTTCTTTTTGGTTGGGTATAATCACAGCTCTTCGCGGCCGCTTCCATTTTGACCCCTCCCTGAATTGGCGTCTGATGTTCCCAAAACTCGGTTACTGAAGGAGGAAACGCGCAACCGCTGGCTCCATAATTTGCAGGACTACCGATGACCGTTCTTCCGCTAAGATCTCCCGAAGATCTTCCCGAATCTTACCCCAGATACTTCCATGCCCCTTGAGGTTGAGTAAACCCACAATAGCACTTGCAGATTTGAGTCTCACACTTTCGTGTCCTCGATCCGTAGAATTCTCTTGGATCCTGGGCCAAATCCTCCCGAGGAGGGCATCCCAGATTTTGTCGTCAAGAGTGAGGGTCACCGACGATAACTTCCCGATTATGTGTTCAATGCATTCTGCTCCACATGTCTTCACCTCATAATTGGCACCAGCAGTACACTCGTCCACAAGGTCTAGGATCTGGATGACCTCAGTCTCCGTTTTTGCCGCTGATACAGGGTCAACATTCAAACATGCATGAAATTACTTAACCTTATGCAGAGAGGGGTGTAATTCACCTGATTTATTAAGCTTCGGCTGAAAAGCATAAGACAACGCCAAAAGTCCATTGATAATAGTAACTTGTTGTCTGGAAGGTCCGTTAGCGTCGAGGTACACTTTAGATCACGACTAATACCTACATTATCTTGATAGATCGGCCATCAGGTGCATCGATATCCATATCGTCTTCATTGTCCTTTGAGACCGAAGACTTAACAATATCATGAGCTTCCTCGAATAAGTCTAGCTGATCAAAACCGTCTGCCAAGCTTCCGAGACTCTTCAGGGCGGAGCTTCGATAAGTAGGATTATTACGCTTGGCCTCTCTCAAGACGATCTGAAAAGATGATAATTAGCAACAAATACAATATTATAAAATTAGTATAGGTTACCTTTCTAAGCTCCATTAGCTTCTCTTCATTTTTGCCGAAATGGGCTTTCCCATTAATAGCTAATAAGACGAGGGCTTCCAGCACAGCTTCTTTCCCATCCCAACTTTTGCCACTTGTTGCTGAAAAGAGCACAGGCCACAATAAATGTAGCTGTTCCGCTGACAAGTCATTTCCGATAGATTTACACGCGTCTGCTAAACTCAAAGCCGCGGTCTGTTTGATGGCCCAGCGCTGGGAGGTGAGATGTGTCTTTGTCATATCAATAATCTCTGCCAGGTAAAGCTTAATGGCACCTGTTCCTCCGGTATTCTCAGACCACGCTTTTCCAAACGCCTCATTGACCGACTTCTCTGGATCATGCTTTCCAACAAAAATGAAAGGAAGCACATCGACGGCCAACGCATTGAATCGGTCGGTAGCACTAGATAAGTAAGCGACTATATGAAAATTCCTGGCTCATAGAGGGACAGTACTTACTATTTACAGATTGCGTATACAATTTCCCCCGCCAGAGCCCGAGGCTTCTCATCTTCACCTTCAAAATATAATTTCCTTGCATATGACACAAGACCCAAAATCTTCTCATCGCTGGCGATTCTACAAAGATAGCCAGCGGCACTAGCATAGCTTACCATAACTGTTTCATTCCGGTCTTGGAGTGAGGATTGAATAGTTTTCAATAAATCGTCCGCATATGGTTTAGATATAAACCCATGACGAACAACCAGGGTTACGATGATGCGACTGCAGCCAACCTAGACAAGCAATTATAGCGTCAGTCTCAGGTCTTTGAGTCTACTTTTAGGTCGATATAGGACCACGTGATTGATCGTTTCACCGACGTTGCATGTCACGTGATATGTACGAAGTTAGCTGTGGTGGGTGGTGCGGGAATGTCACAAACGCCCCTGATTCTCAATCCCTGGCCCGTGTTTCTAGATTGAAAACACGGCCCGTGGTACAAGACACCACAGGGAAAGGAGGCTCGTGGTAAGGAAAAAAATCAGATGAACCATAAATATTTGTCCTACCTTTGATGGTAACCCCAACGCCTTCCGAACAGTCTTTTGGAGCTGTGGGATAAACGTTTTCATAGTCTCGCTGTCTAATAAATCCAAACAACGCTCAATGGCATCCATCATTGGCGAACCGCGGACATTACTCAAGCGCATACGATCGATGTCGTCGCCAGTGGTGTTGTATTTTTCCGCATTCAAGTGAAGGTAATTGACGACTTCAGGCTCTAACGAACTAAGAAGCGCAACAAATTTGTCAACCAAGCTCGGAACATAGGGTAATACCGCTTTCCCGCCTGTTTTTACGAGCTGTAGGAGAGTACCTATATCCATCCTAGTTAGTTGAGCTTTCTCCACTGTATGTCCTTTAGAGGTTATAATTCATGTGCAGCGAGAATGGACTTGTGCATCACTGCATAAAGAATATTTTGTGTAAATTTCAAGGAGGTCTTTGGCTCACGCAAGGCAAATATCTGCACTTCCTTCGCTTCTGCCTCTAGTCCGGAAGAACCCATCAAAAACGGCATTAAACTCTTCAAGACTGTTTCAGCATCTTTTGGCGAAGAGCCCGCATTGACATTAACAATTTTGATCATTGCCGCTGTCAAAACACGACAAAGCTTCATCGCAGCGATCCGAACCGATTCCTTCACATCGTCAAGGACTTTGAATGCAACTGCCCAGATCCGCTCCAGATATTTGGCGTATTTTTCAACACCTCTACCTTGAACTAGCTCCCCGATGGCATTGCAGCAACTCTCCCTTGTTCTCCACTCTCTCCCTAAAGCTTGGTCAAGTAGGTCCTCGATTATTGTCTCAAACCATAGCTCCAATACATCTCTCTCGTCGCTTCCTATCAGGCTCTTCCAGATATCTTCCATACTCTTCGCAACGTTAGGATTTGGATCAAATCGGTATCTGTATAGCTTTGGGTATAGCTTTGGGTTGTGTTTAAGAACATCGGATGAGGATAAAATTGAACCAAGCCCAAAACGGCCGAATGCCGCACGAGAGGACCAGAGGGAGTTGTGTCGTGCGAGTGACATAAATTTATAAACAAGACTAGGATCACCGACTTCAGAGGCGAGGGACATGATCTGTTCACCAATGTGACCGTCAGTGCTAACTCAAACTTATATAGAAGGGAATGACTCGAAAATCCACAAACATCTTTATATGTGCTAATGCTTCCATCCCCAGTGGGAAGCGCGCCTGGTTCAAACAACTCTGTATCCGCAGAGACATTTCCAGTCAATGTACGCTTCTCACCAGTAAAACTGGAAATAAGATTTTTAACAAGTTCATCTTTTGTCGAACTATCGCCGCGTTCATAAACCATTGTTAACCCTCTGGCGGCCGTTTCTTGTACCAAGTCTAGAACGATCAAAATTAGAATCACGATATATCACTCGCCGTTAGGGTTAGGGTAAATAAGCTACCATCTCTGTCCACAAGAAACCCCCTGAATGCTCTCTGCATCTCGCCAAGCTTAGATTGCACCTCCGCGGATTCACCAAGAAATTCCAGTAAGCTAAGCATCCAGACGCAGGTTGCCTGTATAACCAATATCAGCGAACGCTACATATGTTTCCCTAAGTCAGATGGCATGGCAACTCACCTTTCTCAAGGCGGGCTTGGTCTCTTTAACAAAACCCAAAACCCTTGCCACAACCGTTTTCAACCTGGTCGTGTCCTTCCCACGTACTATTGAATCCTGAAAGCCATTGAGATCAACCTTCGCCTTAACACCTTTACTCTCCCATCCACCCGCTACACTCGCCACTGCCTCGCCAGTCGCGAAATTTACCTCAATTTGCCGATTTTCGTGTAAGCTGAATAGCGTTTCCAATATATTTTGAACCGTATTATCGCCTTTCCCTCCTCCAACTGAACTTTCGGCCACTTCTACATCATGAAAGATGATAGAAAAGTATCCCAACGTAAGGATAGCCTTCTCTTTCCCTTTTTTCCCCAACTCCCCTAATCGCTCTAGGATCTTTTCGGATTTTGACTTTTCAAGCTTATTGCCACTCAAAACCCCAAAAATACAGATTTCCGAAAATGCGGTTATTGCCGCATCAAGTACCATCTGGTCTCTGGCTTCTAGTAGTGCAGCGATTATTACATCGATACAACGGGTGATTGTCTCGGAGTCCAGGACGTCTAGCCTTCCACGCAAGCTTAGTCGTGCAAGAAGATACCCCAATGCCAGAATGCCACCATGGACACGGTTAAGCTCTTGTCCTCCGACCCTCTCCCAGCTCTCTGCACCATCCGCCATTTCGGAGAGCAGTGCATTTAATACTGACAGGTCAACGGTAGGATGGCTCCCCAGAAGTCCCAAAGCACGCGCAGCAGTTGCACGACCTTCGGACTTCATTCCAGTGAGGGCACACCTCCGTAACCCTCCAACTTTGCTAGAAAACTCTTCCAACATGGAATTTGGAACAACGCCTACAAGTTCCACCCAAACTTCTCTGACACCCTCAACACCGATACCTTCGTATACCATCCCTTCCCATGCAACGCGCATAAATTGCTCGAGTGTGCCTGGCTTCTCCTTAGACAGGCGGCGGAAATACACTCGTAGTTTTTCACGGACCTTATCATCCCTCTCTACGGCAGTATCAAGTTTGCGTTCCCAATCTTCATCGACAAGTATTTCTTCGCCATCGAGCGCCTCCATGAACGCTACTCTACGGACAAATGCCAGGGCGGCGGAAAAGACTTCTAATGGCATGGATTTTGCGACTAGGAGATCATCTGGCCCCCAAGTGATAGCATTATGCTGAGAGTTGAAAAAGTACTCAAGGATAGTGGAAAAAGATGGAAATGCAAATTTGTCTTTTTTGTTGGACGCCCTCTGATTATCGACATCAACTTCCATTGCATCTGACGTTTGGGGTCTGTATGCAGGGTGCTTCTCCTCTGGGTTGAGAAGGCGATAATAGTATGGATGAAGTCCTGTACAGACACCTTAATTCAGTATTCCAGGTGCAAGTTTACCAAAACTACATACCTTTCTTGGCCTCTTCAACTACCTCCCCTCTTTCCCCTTTTCTCCCAATGGCCAACAGATTGGCCCATCTCCCTACAACATTCCCAAATTCCAAGGTTCTATTGGCATACCTAACCGCAGAGAACCGCGTGCTACGGCCTTTCTTTGCGACCATTTGATCCACAATAAGTTCTTCCAGACCATATTCAGTATCCCTGTCCATATTTGCCCTTGCAATAACTGGAAGAAGCGTCGATAGCGCCCCCTCAACTGATACGCCTACACTCCCAACGTGTTCGTCTCTCAATCTTCCAAAAAGAAATTTCAAAATTTTCCATTCTGGCTCGATCACGATTCTGGGTGAACGCTTGGCGAGAAGTCCGAGCGATTCATAAGCGTACCCCCTTATCTCATCCACGATTCCATTATTATTGCCAATGCCATTATCTTCAGAATCAGTGCTCAAAATCCAGTACCGCACCTTCTCTACTACCTCTCCCGCAACAGCAACCATAACTTCTTCTCCGCCTATACGGGAGGCCCAGTTGACAAAACCAAAGGCAGCCTGTCGCAGTCTGAGATAATCGGTTTCTAGCGCACTTTCAACAATGCGTATAATTTCCTTCTTCCATTTGATTTCTACCGCAGTTGAACTTTTTGCCAACAAAGCAACTATCCGCGCTTGAAGGACAACCTTGACGGCGGGCATGCCAGTCGTTGGTGACCCGAAATAGAGAGTGTAAAGTTTTGCCACAACGTCTTCATCATCTAGAGAAATGGCTGGGAGTGACCTTTTGTAGATGTCTTCGGCAGGCCCCGAAACAGCTGAATTACTATCCGAAGCACCGATAAGAGTCGGAAAGAATCTTTCTCCATCTATAAATGCACCTGATGCCAAAAACTTAAGCACGGACCTTTTTATATCCGCAAGTACTGAAAACGGGGTGAAAGTCTCCCTCTTGCCACCTAGAGTGAGAAATTCAAAATCATCAGGGGATAAACCCGGGCAGGACAATCTTTGGGTTTCTGACTGCTGGGCTTGGGGTATAGAAAAGACAGATAGGTTAAGCAGCATTAGTTTTGAGATCCAGCCCGCCACCCATGCTGCGTCTTCGGGGTTTTCTGCGAATCCGACTGTCACTCTTAAGGCGGTATCCTCATTGGTCCCTCTAGGAGGCGGTTCAAAGAACGGCAATATCTTTAAAAGGATGTTGAATAGGGCACGTTGATGAACATGGTTATCATGTTTCGAAATGTCTTTCAGCAAAGGAGGTAGTAATGCTAGCCGTTCAGACACTGGAAGACGCTCTATTCCTGTCTGGACATACATCAAATCAAAGTTCCGAATCAGAGGATACTTCCCGCCAATTTCTGGATCCTTGAATTGCCCCAATAGTGCGGCGACAGGAAGGAGGAATGTGGGCGATTTAATACGAGTATTAACATGCTGGCAGATTGAAATCACCTAGTTTTTTGGTGTTAGATGCTGATTTACAGGAGCTCATAAGTAGAAGATCGCAGACTTTATTCCTGACGTTGACATGCGGGCTGGCTAGCTTCAACAATAGAGGGGCGAGGTAAAGATTGAGAAGACGCTGGAGCTTATCATCACTTTCAGCGAGCGCAATCTTGAGCTCTACGTTGTTACATAGACGAAGTTCTTTTGCTTCATCAGGCTCCGACATCGTTGGTATAAAGAAAGTATTTGTGTATATTGTTGGAATAAGAGGTATATCTTGTGAATGAAAGCTCAAAGAGAAGTTGAAGTCGGAGGTCTATGACGCGGGGATCCGGATGGCGTTTAGTGGAATGCCCTAAACTAAATCTCAGAGACGTAAGCCGGTTGATTAGTCATGGTTTAGTCATCGTCTTATCTGAACATGTATGTATACCAACAAGCTAGGCCCCAAATATTCCTGTCAATAATTGCAATGGGACAGTACATACATGTATATCCCTTAGACGGATGACACGGTCAAATTCGCAGCTTGGTCCTAGGCCTTGCACGCACCTCATTGGGTAACTTCTTTTCTTTTCCGAATAACAATAGCCAGAGAGCCAATCAAGTTCAGTGATAATTGCTAAAAAGGGCTAATATTAACTCAAAGAGGCAAGCTGCGAATTTGACTGTGTCATCCGTCTAAGGGATACAGCACTGTACATGCCGTATAAGATAGGCTTTGTCAACCCGCCTTTCCATCCTTTTATCATATATTTTATTCTGAAAGCTGCATGTATACACGCACTACATGTAGCTACATCTCAAGGACATGATTCATAAAATTGCATAATTGTCGGCCAATGCATGTACTCAAGCTTTCAATTGACTGGTGGATAACTACATGTATGTACATGTACTCGCATTGCACTAAACTTATATAGGCAACTTTATACAATTTTACAGGCAACCCCTCGACTGTCCCCGATCGACATTCGGGGTAAGACATTATTTCCGAATAAAGAATAGGATTGTATTTATCTGTGGGGTCAATCGTATGATTGTAGTCATACCGGCCATCCCAAAGGATAACCTGTTGAATACAATACCAAAAAGGGTATGGATTTGCTACATGTACCTATATTATTCCCGTTAATGCGCTAGTAATTATAATGCAGCAAAAAATACGGAATTAGAGAGTATTTGTCAACAATCAATTTCGAGAACTCTCGAAATGTGGGTCTAAAAAGTGTGAACCGGAGCTACCAATTTTGAATTTAAGTGGGGCGGCGTGCTGTGAGATATGCCAGGAGGACCACAATTACCCAGTTTTTTCACCACCGTAATTAGCATCATGGGTATTGATTTTAAGTCCTGACAGCGTATGTCACAGGTAGCGTGACAAACTGTTTGATTTCCAGAGTTTATTTTGTTATACCGTTAACCAGATCGATTTGGCCACTGAGGGGGAACTATCAATTTTGCCTCCCGCAACTGTCAGATTTGAAGTGTCAATAGTCGAGATTGGCGGTTGGCAAATACTCTCTATTACTACGGTATTCTTTTTGTAATGTAAATTTCGTAGTCTTACAGTAGTAATTTCACCCCGTTTTTCGTACTAGTGAACACTATACTACATGTAGGCAATTTATGTATCTTAGATAAAATGGTAGCATGTATGTAGCTACATGTATATACAGTGACAGAAAAGTGGGTGGGATTACTACCGTAGTCTTTGGCAATGCCATAAAACTACGGTAACACTACCGCATACTTCATTAAAATATGGGGATAAAGCGGCATTCCCGCACAATGCCGTACTGACCCGGCATCAGTTTTACCCCCATTTCTGATACTGTAGGTACTACACTGGCACATGCATGCGGTATATAGGAAATAGACCTGGCTGTATAGGTTCAACTCACACACGATATATTCCCTAGTTTGCCCCGAATCTTCTCAAGCTTTAGATGACCTGAGTAGCTAAGAAAACAACTGCCATAAAAGATTGTTACGCTTGATGGTTAGGCTTAACTGGAGCGGCGATATCAATGCATGTAAATACCTAAGACATCCAATTAATTACGATATAGTATCAACTAAATGTAGCTTGCTTAAAGGCCGATCAAGACCTAGCTCACAAACAGAGGGATGGGTGAATAATACTTACAAGTACATATACTTGCCGGATTTTTTCCTGTGCCCAGAAAACCTATTCTTCCTAATAGCTATCCAATTCATGAGGTTTTAGGACCGTTACTTCGTCTGAAGACGTAGCGTTCCAATATATCCGGATGAGAAAGAAAACATCTGGACACAAATTAAAGGAAAATTTGGCAAGTACATGCAGTTAACGAAACCACCATCCAGTCGCTCCCACTCAAACACCTTAGCCATAACCCTAACCCTAACACAGTATGAATCTGCTCTCATTGACTCATTCATGCACAACCAGTTGTATACTGAGAGGAGCTACTGGGACTTGAATAAATGTAGCTTTGGGGCTATCGTCTGTCTTTGTATCAAAATAAATTAATATTCTGCAATATATATATTTGTATTTCTTCAATACGAGTGCGTGCCTGTGCACGTGATTCGTTCATGACATAATCCGGGTAACTTCATTTGGCTAACTATTTGCGTAGCAACGACAGCTTCTTTCCTCCTTCACAAAACACTCAGTCATCAACCTCCTCTCCAAAGCACTCAATTCGACTTCTCAAAATCATCCTGCTACCTAGATAGTTTATCTGAGCCTCCCCGCGGCCCAACCTTCCTCCCATCATGTCGGGGAACTCGAACATGTTCCTGTACTCGCTGACGGTTCTGCAGCCGTCTTCAATCACCCAAGCAATATTGGGCGCCTTCAGCGGGAAGAAGCAGCAGGAGATCATTGTAGCTCAGGGCTCGCGAATATCCTTGCTACGACCAGATCCGACGCAAGGAAAGGTCCACTCAGTCCTCACACATGACGTATTTGGAATCATCCGATGTTTGGCTGCATTTAGGTTGGCAGGAAGCTCAAAAGGTATGTTTCTTTGCGGCTCTATCTTATTCTTTTTTTTGCCTCTGCAGCTTAGTGATTTTTGAAAGCGACATAAGGTCAGCGAGTCTCAACGAGGAAGATAGAAGGGGAAACGTGTAATGGACACGACTGCTCTGGATAGGCGCGCTAACACAACGGCTTCCTAGACTATATTATCGTCGGTTCGGATTCTGGCCGTATCACCATCCTCGAATACCAACCTGCTGCCAACAAATTCCACCGCCTGCATCTCGAGACTTTCGGCAAATCTGGTGTCCGTCGCGTCATCCCCGGTCAATTCCTCGCGTGCGACCCGAAAGGTCGTGCATGTTTGATCTCGTCCGTGGAGAAGAACAAGCTGGTCTACGTACTTAACCGAAACGCGCAAGCAGAGTTAACTATCTCGAGTCCACTTGAAGCGCACAAGCCGCATTGTCTTGTGTTCGCACTAGTAGCTCTAGACGTCGGGTACGAAAATCCGGTATTTGCCGCTCTGGAAGTGGATTATGGGGAGAGCGACCAGGACGCAACAGGGGTGGCGTATGATCAGATCGAGAAGATGCTTGTTTATTATGAACTGGATTTGGGTCTCAATCACGTTGTCAGGAAATGGTCAGATCCTGTGGACAGGAGCGCAAATATCTTGTTCCAGGTTCCGGGAGGTACCGATGGGCCGTCGGGGGTGTTGGTTTGCGCGGAGGATAACATTTACTACCGACACATGGGAAGGTCGTCCCACAGGGTCCCAATACCAAGGCGGCGTGGAGCATGCGAAGATCCGAGCAGAAAGAGGTCCATCGTTTCAGGAGTCATGCACAAGATGAGAGGGGCATTTTTCTTTTTGTTACAGACGGAGGATGGAGACCTGTTAAAAGTCACCTTGGATTACGAGGATGATGTGGGCGTTTCAAGGATCAAGGTGAAGTATTTCGATACTGTGCCGCTTGCAACAAGTTTACTCATCCTCAAGAGTGGGTTCTTGTTTGTGGCATCGGAGGGTGGGAATCAGTGAGTCAAATACAATTCTGGTCTACACGCTCAAATGCTAACGTTCCTACTAGCCACTTCTATCAATTCGAGAAGCTCGGAGATGACGACGAGGAAGCCGAGTTCTCAAGCGAGAACTTTTCCCCTGATTCTTTGGACGAGTACACACCGATATATTTCCATCCTCGTGCGCCTGAGAACTTGTCACTTGTGGAAGCTATCGACAGCATGAACCCAGTGGTTGACTCTAAAATTGCCAATTTAACAGACGAGGATGCGCCACAAATTTACACCGTTTGCGGAACAGGACCACGTTCAACATTCCGTATTCTTAAACACGGGCTTGAGACTACAGAGATTGTATCTTCGGAGCTACCAGGTGTTCCCAGTGCTGTATGGACCACCAAATTGACCAACGGAGACGAGTTTGATGCATACATTGTGCTTTCTTTTACGAACGGTACTTTGGTTCTCAGCATCGGTGAGACGGTAGAGGAAGTCACAGACACAGGATTCCTGTCTTCGGCACCCACATTAGCAGTCCAGCAGCTTGGAGATGATGCTTTACTCCAGGTCCACCCGAAGGGTATTAGACATATAAGGGCAGACCGAAGAGTCAATGAGTGGCCTGCGCCACAACATAGGTCAATCGTAGCCGCCTCTACGAATGCTCGACAAGTCGCAGTTGCCTTGTCAAGTGGTGAAATTGTGTACTTTGAAATGGACTCTGACGGTCAACTCGCAGAGTATGAAGAGAAGAAAGAGATGACTGGCACGGTAACTTGTCTCTCCCTTGGTGATGTCCCAGAAGGCCGAGTTCGAAGCTCGTTTTTGGCAGTAGGCTGTGACGACTCGACAGTAAGAATTCTCTCACTGGATCCTGATACAACACTCGAATCAAAATCCGTGCAAGCTTTGACATCTGCGCCATCATCTCTATGTATCATGGCAATGCCCGACAGTGCCGCAGAAACATCCAAGAGTTCCACTCTATACCTGCATATCGGTCTATACAGCGGGGTGTACCTTCGGACAGTTTTAGATACCGTGACTGGGGAGCTGACGGATACCCGAACACGATTTTTGGGACCTCGACCGGTGAAGATATTCAAAGTAATCGCACAAGGACAGCCAGCAGTGTTGGCCTTAAGTAGTCGGCCGTGGTTGGGATACAATGATGGACGAGGACAGTTCTTGCTTACACCGCTGACATACCCAATGTTAGAGTGGGGCTGGACTTTTAGTAGTGAACAATGTCCGGAGGGGATGGTTGGCATCCAGGGGCAGAATCTCAGAATTTTCACGATTGAGAAACTCACGGACAATCTTCAACAAGAAAGCATACCACTCCCTTATACCCCAAGAAAAATGCTTAAGCATCCCGACCAGCCTTTGTTTTACGTCATCTGTGCGGATGCCAATACGCTATCTGTGGCAACCAAGCAAAAACTGCTTTCGGGCGCTCAAAATGGCGAATCCACCGAGCTCCCGCCAGCCGAATTTGGGAATCCAAAGGGCGAGGGTCATTGGGCATCATGCATCACTATTGTTGATCCGCTCGGAAAAGAGATCCTTCAAACGATCGAGCTCGAAGAGAATGAGGCAGCCTTTTCCATTGCGGCTGTATCCTTCGCTAGTCAAGAAGACGAGGTTTTCCTTGTGGTTGGGACTGGTAAGGACACCAAGCTCTCCCCCAGGTCATCAACAAACGGCTACATCCATATCTACCGTTTTATTGACAATGGGCGTGAACTCGAGTTCATCCACAAGACCAAGGTGGACGAGCCACCTCTTGCACTGCTCGGCTTCCAAGGCCGTCTCCTGGCAGGTATCGGACGTGATCTCAAAATCTTCGACTTGGGAATGAAGCAACTTCTCCGCAAGGCGCAGGGGCAAGTCGCACCCAATTTGATCACAGGTCTCCAGACCCAGGGATCTCGTATCATTGTCAGCGATATCCAGGAAAGTGTCATCTACGTTGTCTACAAATACCAAGATAACCGGCTCATCCCCTTTGCCGATGACATGGTTGCGCGCTGGACCTCAACCACCACAATGATCGACTACGAGACCGTCTGCGGTGGTGACAAGTTCGGGAATCTGTGGATCGTGCGATGCCCTCAAAAGGCATCAGACGAGAGTGACGAGGACCCTGCCGGCGGTCATCTCATTCATGAACGATCGTATCTCCAGGGCGCTCCTAACCGGTTAGCATTGGTGTGCCACTTTTACACACAAGACATCCCCACATCCATCCAGAAAGCGCAGCTCGTTGCAGGAGGAAAGGACACGCTAGTCTGGACGGGTCTACAGGGTACAATCGGACTCATGGTCCCATTTGTGAGCAGAGAGGACGTCGACTTTTTCCAGACGCTAGAGCAGCACATGAGGACGGAGGATGCACCGTTGGCCGGAAGAGACCACTTGATTTACCGAAGCTACTATGTCCCCGTAAAGGGTGTGGTAGACGGTGATCTTTGTGAACGATACACATTATTAAGCCGAGACAAGAAGGCGGTAATTGCACAGGAACTGGACAGGAGTATAAGGGAAGTTGAGCGAAAGATTGCAGTAAGCACCCCGTTTTCTTCTGTACTGCTTTTAGAATCATCACTAACCTGTCGGACGATAGGACATGAGGAGTCGGGTCGCATACTAGATAGATACAACACCCGTAGAGTAGAGTGGGGGCAAGGGGCGTGGGGTGGAAGGGTTATAGTTTTAACTAGGTATTCATGATCTTGAGCGAGGGTTGAAAATTGTACTCTAATTCTTGCAACATTTTTTTTATTTTTCATATGATTTCTTTCTGCATTAGTTTTCTTGTTCTTTCTTACTCTTGTACGCAAGGCTATATACGTGATCTATGCCTCAAAAAGCAATTGAAAGAATGGCCGATGCTTCTACAATCTTCCATGGTGATAATTATCCTTTCCCGAAACCCTAACCCTAACATAACCCTAACCCTTAATGGCCTAGAACCATCTAGAAGAATTCCATGATCATACCGCATCACTCGGGAAGGTTCTAGAGGCCCGAGTGATATCCAGAGCATTCGAGATATCGCTATTATCGTCGTGCACGGCGTCTATATAAGATTGCCGTCGTGTCCTCGACTCGAGGGCTGTTCTCGTCAGATCAGAAATCTACGAAGCATTACACGGATCCCTAAACTCATATCTTCAAAAGAGCGTGTCTTTAAAACTTCTCATCTCTTCTCGAAAGAATCGAAGCTATCTTACTCGAGTTACCGTGAATCTCCCTATAAAACGCCATACAGTTAATCCTCTCAAACACACAACACTAAAAAACCACCTCCTCAAACACAAACACACAAACGCACCAACCAAAAAAAATGCCTCTCTTTTCTCACTATCACCCCACCCCCGCGAACGGCATCTTCCGCCTCCTCGATGGCCTCACCAGCCACAACTCCAACAACAACCATCATACCTCCACGCCCACAAACCGCCGAGCCTTCACACCAAACTTCGACGTGCACGAGACCGACGCCGCGTTCGTGCTCGAGGGCGAGCTGCCCGGGCTGGAGAATAAGTCGCATGTTAACATCGAGTTCACGGACGACAACACGCTGCTCATCAGGGGGCGGATCGAGCGGAAGGTGCATTCGGCCGGGGGGAATGATTCGGGGGAGAATAAAGAGAATGAGAAGCAGGAGGATAAGGGGAAGCAGGTGGTGAAGAAGGGTGAGTCTGTGAAGGAGAAAGAGAATGCGGGGGTGAGGTATTGGGTGGCGGAGCGGTCGGTGGGCGAGTTCCAGAGGAGCTTTTCGTTCCCTGGGCAAGTGGAGGTGGAGAGTGTGAAGGCGAGTTTGGAGGATGGGGTGTTGAGGATTGTGGTGCCGAAGAGGGAGGCGGTGAGAGGGAGGAAGATTGAGATTTCGTAGGTGGCATGTGGTTGGAGTTGATGTGGTGGCTGGTTTGGATTGTCGTTGATAATACATTAATATTCTAGAGTCTTTCTTGTTTGCTTATCCATTTTCTCAGCTAGTTGAAGAATTGCATTCTTTTGAAATCTTAATGTTTCCAGCAGTCCTTCGACCAGGGCGCTATCTCGTCATCTAATCTTAATTAACTTTGTGAACCAAAAAGTGTTCTCGACAGACCAGCATTAGCTGTTTAAAACTTCATCCCCACTTTGACGTAACCCCTTACCAACACCTCCCTAGCGACCACAACTCAAAAGGTGGGGCTATAAAGACGAAGTAGAGGAATAAAGGCGAACGGTCTATCAACCCCTCGGCCAACGCCCAAGAGTCGAGAGGTGCCTTCCAAAGGTTAATTGGGTGCAACCAGCATTCCTTGAAGCCTTGAAAGAAACCTGCTCTATTCGGGATGTGCGGGGGTTAGGTTGTGGGGTGGAAGGTTGAAGGGGAGTGATGGGGGGGAAGGAAGAAAGATGTAGAGGAGTAGGTTTATGTGTGCGCAGAGAGACCGCGCTAACTTGGTAGGGCTTGCTCTGGGCGTTAGGTCTTGTGCCTACATTCACATAGTATCTTGGCCCACACAATAGTAGAAAGACGCTAGCAACTTAGACCTCGGGTCGCATACAATTAATGAGTCAACAACAAAAAAAAACCAACAACATCCTCACATCATGAAATATCACTCGACAGTTCTCAACAAGAATACCATTTCACACTTGGAGTGGGCTTTTTGCACAGTTTCCGGGTTGTATAGGTTTAATTTATTATTGCTCAGGGCGCATTGCGGAGTGTCTGCTCTTGCAGTGTTATCAACGAGTGACATCTGATGACGCCGGCCCCCCCACAATCAACCGTTTATAGTTAGTACAAAGCACACGCGAAAACAGAAATCACTTTTATTTTTTATTATCTGAGCAAGTGCATACAATGTGTAACTCACAAGAAAAGAAAGAAAGAAAAGAAGAAAAAAGTATTCTATCGAAAAGGATCAGAAACTTTTTTTGACCAACCCTACAAACAAAAAAGCCATTTTACCCTGAACCGGATAACAATAACCACCAACAATGGAAAAAAAACAATATTACAAATGTTCTATAGAGTCTACAAACCAAACTCATTTTTTCCTTCCCCCATCAACTGCGCGCGCAACGTCCCTTCTAATCCTTCTGACACCCTCAACCACCTTCTCTACGCCTCCGAAAATTGGCATATCTCTCAATGCGCGCCCAACATTGCCCTGCTCCAATTCGAGCACGCGGTCGACCAGTTCCTGCTCCTTGTCGCTGCCATCCTCTTCCGCGATTGCCTTGGAAACCTTTGATGCCGCTGCAAGTAAAGCGTTATGGAAGGCGGTGGCAGCGGCAATGAGAGACGTGATGGCCGGCCTGATGGATTTATGCAGCTGCTTATGCAGCGGGGATTGCAGCGTAGGGGCCACGAAGGCTCCGACGAGGATGGCCGCGTCGATGTACAGGTGCATTGCGTGAAGCGTGTTCCAATCTGGTTCGCCGCTGGGGACGCTGTCAGGACTGGGGGTGCGGGAGCTAAGCCAGGATTGTGCTTTCTCGGCGGAGGAGATTACGGTAACGCCGTCTTTTGCAATGGCAGCTTGGATCATGGCTGTGAGGAGGTGGGCAAACTCGATGTATTCCCGCTCGGGCCCGGTGAACTCGATAGTAGCTTCGGGATCAGCTTGGATCTTCTCTAGGATAGAGGTGCCGTTTTCGGGTTGCAGAGAGAGCGGGCCGGGGGCCGGGAGATCGTGGGTGACGGTTATGACGGCTTTGCAGTAGACAACTAATTTTTCTACTACCGCAAAGGCCTTGACCCAGTTCTCGCCTGGCGGGGCACTGGTTCGGAAGAGCTCTTCGAAACGCTTCTTTTGCACCTTTGTAGCTTCACCGCCTTCTTCTGCGGCCGGGATACTCGGAGGGTGTTCTGTCTCACAGTTTACAAGGACACCAAAATCACGGTTATCCCAGACGACAGCGTCATCCTTGAGTACTGTATCGAGAGTCTCTAGGTCATCGATCTTATTGGTCTGTTGTGGTCCCAGGCGATCAAGGCGGCGGCGCTCAATCTCCCACATTGAGCGACAGACAGAGCCGGCAACACGTTCGCTGAACTCGATGAAACCCATCATTTGTGCGTAGCCTCCGCGCTCAAAGGCGAGGACAAGCATGTTTGGTGTTTGTGAGGAGCTACTTTCATATATTCTCCCGGCGTCATTGAGAATCGCCTCGACCTTTTTCTCGGCAGGCAGAATTGTACTAATCCGGGTGAGAAGGAAATGAGAGAGCGTATCGTTCTGAATCTGCTTGATGTTGAGACGGGGGTAGACTTCAACTGCGAGGGATGCTGCCCCGAGCAGAAGGTATAGCCGGACGAGAAGAAGCAGGGCTTGGTAATTGTGTTTGCTCTTGGAAACAACGGCCTCGAGAATTATCAAAGCCTGATAGAGAGGCGCCTGTGCTGTGATCGAAGTAGAGGAGGATGTTATGGAAGAGTGCAAGAGATGCAAGCGGACGAGACCCATAATAGAGAGAAGGGCGGCATCGTCGCCATATTGGTTGTCTGTGTCAAGTAGTGCAGAGCCAAGTGGGAGGGCGCCGACATAGATCTTGAGGGATGATGTAATGAAATCATTGAGTTTGGGGATTACCTCCTCTTCCGAGGAAGTAGAGGTGGCAGTGATAGTAAGGGGGGAAATGGTGAGAAGGTAAATAAATTTGTGATGGTTGATCTGGGCAGCGGTCTTGGAAATCTTTGATTTCTGGTAGAAACCATCTGTCAGTGATTGATAACTTAAAATCTGCAAGTTCCTTTCAAGTACCTCATCGTCGGCATCCATATCCTCGATATGCTTCTCCACAAATCCCAAAAACTCCTTCTTCTCACTCATCTCAAGCATCTCGAGATAGTTCTGCAAATCCTCGAAACAACAGCTCTTTGTTCCAGTTCGTGTAAAATACTCTTTACATGCCTCTAGCAATGTGGGAGTACCTTCCGGTCCCTCATGGTGATCATGAAACAGTGACGCAAATTTGACCAATGCGAGATCTGCATTTCTTGATGTACCCGTTTTTGCGGTTTCCCTGTGTTGCAGAATAACCTCGAGTGCTTTGTTACCCTGATCCTTGTTTTCTTGATTATAAAGCTCGCCCGCAGCCTTGACGAACCCCTCCCAAACCCTCCAATCGTCTCCACGACCCTTTGTCTCACCCTCAGTTTCAGGAACGGCAGCTCCATCAGTCATCTTCGCTACTTCGTTTGCAACTGCCCCGCCATCTGTTTTTGCTGCTGCTGACTCTTTGGCCTTTACTTCAACCCCATGCAGAAGGCTCTCACAGGCCTTCCACACTTCCATCCAATTGCCGCTCTCCTCCAGCAAATCCAACTGCCGTCTAACGAGACCCCACCAATCTCCGGACCCGATCTTAGAGTCAACACCAAGATTTGAAGAACTCAAGAGCTCGAGTGCCTCTTTTGTAGCTGTTGCGGAGTCTGGTGCCACATAAGGGAGGACCTCAAGGTAGAGTCCGACTTCTTGCGACGTTTGGATGGCTCGGGGAGGCACTACAGTGGTATCGGTAGGTGTATCCGTTCGCGATTTCGAAATCATCCTATACGCAAGCTGACCAAACAGCTTTTTGTCCACTGCTGAATCCGGAAGTGAGTTCTTAATTGAAAGTATCAGTACATTCTCTAAAGCTTGTCTAGTTTCCGGGAGCAGGAGGAGCACAGACATGTAACAGCAGACACGTTAGGACAGCCCAAAACCAATACTCTCTCCTTTTGGGGTAATTTTTCTGGAGTGCCATAGCAGCCTTTTGGGCGCCCCTCCAATCAAGAATTCGTACAGTTCCCCATAGCCATTCTCGTGTTAGAGCCTCATCTCCGGGATGTACTTTAACAGAACGCTCCCACATCTTGGCTACCTCACCGGCATGCTCCGAGCCTAGCATCGACCATACTTTAGTGGTTGTGGTCAGCACCTCGATGGAATCGATCGGAGGGGTTTTTGCCGAGAGTTGCTTGGCGATAACGAGAGCTTCTTCGTAGGATGGACCGGTTTTAATGAGAGTTAAAACAAGGGCTTTGATGGCCTAGTCTCAGACGGAGGTCAGTATTGTCGAGCAGTGGGGCATGAGACATAAGCAGATGCGGAATAGCTATTTTCATTTATGGATAAGAGGGAATTACAAAGAGATAATCATTCTTCTCGCCTTTTTTGATGCGTTTGTTGCAGAGCTGTAATGCCTGCTTGTAAGCTCCTGCATCAAGCGCATCATGTACGAGCTGGTTCTTGCGGTCCTGGCGGAGAGACATTGCTGAAAGTGGATATGTTTAGTTGGAATTTGAAGTCAATGTATGTACAAGAAGATAGATCGAAGCATTAATGGATAAGAAGTATCAATTTCCTCGTGACGTGGAGATAGATAATTCTGTTGGGGGGGTTGTTAAGGATATCGTGGTCTTAATTCGGGAGTGGAGAGAATATGGGAGAGGTGGAGCCGGGTAACCCATGTGTTCTCAAAGGTTACAGCTCAATTGAACTTACATACAAACATACATACATGTATCCCTGCTAAATCGGGAGAGAGATACATATGTATATCTCTACATTGGGGAAGGAATTTGAAGGATGAGGGAAGGAAAAACCGGTGCAATATGATAGACAGAAACGCAGTATATATTGATACATATTCCTCGGAAGAGTATCTCGTAGGAATATATTGACAACTAGAAGATCCAGAAGTTCCGGGGGTCCCGAGACTGAGCGGGTAGTGACGTGAGTATATGAGTGCTGTAATATTCTAAAATTGCTACCACTACCGAATTGAGTTAAGGACCGGGGTTTAAAGGCGAATGTAGTGTGGTTTTGTAAAAATGGAGATAAATCCTACGTCCTCGTCTTCATTTCATTAAACTCTTTCCCAACCTCGTATAATTGAGTGTATTGCATATTGGATTCAAATATTTGAGAAAGTAGTTAGTCGTTGATCCAATGGGAGTGCATAACTCACTATCAATCCGAGAGACGCAATGCAGCTCTGCTGTCTTAGACGTTAGTACTCTACGGTCTCTACCCAACGATGTTGGTTAAGAGAGGTGTTGGTACCTGTACTAGTGCGATTACCACATCATGCAGTGACTAATGTCAGAATAAGCCGAAAAACCGGGTAACTGCAGGCCCTAGCTAAGTGCGGCTCTGTCCTCAAGGAAGTGAATTCCTGATAAAGGAGAGAGCTCCAGGTCATCATCAAGAGTTCGAATTTATCGCTCAATTAAACAACCACAACCAAAGACCTCAGCCATGGCTATTCTCGGTGGCTATACCTTGATCCGCTTGCTCACGGCTGTCCACATCTTTCTCGGTACTCTCCTTATCCTAACTCCAAAACGCCTCACCGAGCAGCCCATTATCTTCCTCCTCGGCGAAGCCATCGGCCTTGTTAGTAGCTATGGCTCGATTCTCCGCCCTTTCCACTTTTTCTAACATATCCACTAGTCACAACCCACGGAATCTTTCTATGACAATCCACTTGCCAGCTCAGTCCTCGGACTGATGTTCATCCTCTCCGGCGTTTCCGATTTATTCGCCGTGTCCTCAATGGAGGAGGTATCGCGCGGTTACTGGGATGCGCAGTCACCAGTTCGCATGGCTTTTTTTGCCTGCGTCACTGGATACACATACATTTTTCGGCCCGGGCGTGGGAACACCGCGGCCAGTCACCCGCTGAAGAACAGTCTTGTCTTCACGTGGGGGTTTATGGAAGTTCTTGCATGGTTCTGGGTATGTCCTTCTTCTTTCTTGCTCCTGCCAGCGCGTGAGATTGCTAACCTAGTTCCGCCCGACAGATTTATCAGCAACTTAGAGAGGAACGCCGCGGCGCGCAGGAGAGGATTGAGAAGCGGAGAAGGATGCATGCGAAGCTTATGGCTGGTGAAGTTGATGACTTCGGTAGGTAATGATTTAGGCCCGGTCATGAAGGTAGTATACCTATCATGTATTTTTTGTCATTTTTCTTTTTTTTAGGGAGGAGGGACTAGGTAGGATGGGTACGGTACATACATAGAGATTATAGACTTGTGTTTTTTTCTGCGCAAACAATTGATATCCACACGCTCTACACACAAGGCCGCTACTTCGATGTTTTGTGGCCACTTGTCAGTTGTCAGTTTCAGCACAGACCCTCTCACGTGATCGAGTGATGGGCTATGAACATGTTTTATCGCTGAGACGGGGCTAGCCTTATTTCCAATATACCGACTGACGCAGGCTTATATCCCATTCTTCTGAATGCCAGTAAGCGAAGCTCTACTTGTTTGTAAAGTATCAATCAGCTTCCTCTTGAAGGTAAGACCACAGGATTCGATGAACCATCGCAACTCGAGGGCAATGGGATTCCAAAGAGCTGTCGTCAGAGCGCGTAAAGCTTGGCCTCTTAGTATAGCAACTTCTAGGAAGAGCATTTGTAAAAGCCAGCAGGATTCGTGAGAGAGTCGTTGGGTGCGATTGTGGTTAAAAAGGCCATCGCACCAGCTGAGTGGTGGTGGTGGTGGTGAGTGTGGACGGTGATGAAGCGGAAGGAAATGATTAGGCTCGATATTCCTATTCTTTGGTCCGGGTGATGATGTACGGGGAGGGTGTGGTCGCCATGCACTGCTCTGACTTTGAAGCTGGGTACAGTGAGTTCACAAACCTAAAAGCTGCACTAGCAAGCACAGACTATATCGAGGTGCCGTACGTACACCCTTAACGTGAGGTTAGACGGATTTCTACTCGGTAACTACATGTACATGTACGTCTCTATACCCATTTGTATATCCTTGTACTGCTCTTCCTAAAGTATATTTTACACTATGTACCAACAGGACTAGAACCCCAACGATCGAGAAAATCAGACAGTTATAAAACTGCTCTGGACCACGCAAGGGATTAAAACGGCATTGGAAATCTGGAAGCAGTCTACCAAATGGCGACACGAAAGAGGAGAAAGAGACGAAGATAGAGAGGAGGAGGCCAGAGAAATGGAAATGGGCTGGGGCGGCCTGCGGGATATATAGCCCATAGTTTTATAAATTGTTTAGAAGCTACTTTCTTTATTTTTATAAGTTACTAGTTTATATTTGTTATAGGTTATTGGTTTTGTTTTTGTTTTTGTTTTGTTTTGTTTTGTTTTGTTTTGTTTTTGTGAGAGGTGGAGGAAGTGATTGGGAAGTTCTGGGGCAGTGTGATATTGTCATAGACTACGGTCTGCATACAATTAATGAATTAAACAAAAAAAAAGAAAAGAAAAAAGGACTAGAACCCTAACCCTGGAACATTATGGACCACGAGGATAATAACGAAGCTCATTAGAACCACTTTCCAGCTATTTCTTTCACCTCGTCAAAGAACTTGGAGACGTTAGATTTCATACGCGTCGATGTGCACATGAGACTAGCCAGTAGAAGTACTTCATAATCATCGCACTAGAAAAGAGAAGCACTATTACAGTATAACGATGGTTGTTAAGCCTGATTTTCTGGAGACAATGAGATAAGAGCCACTCATATGGTCGTGCTTGCGAATATGATTAAGTCACAAAACAAAACCCCTCTGTTTTCGTTCAGAGTAGCTAGTAGTAAGTATCAATTACAACACTTCATACTTCATAATCAACCGTTTTTACGGCTAATAACCAGACATGCTTGTTACCAAGATCATAATCATGCAACCGAAAAAAAGAGAAAAACGCCTTACGCACAGGGTGATACGCGACATGTCACACAACGCTGACGGAGGTTGTACACGTTTAAATAGAGGACAAGGCTGAAGTTTCGAAAGCTACACTACTTAAGTTGGTAAGCTCAGCACTTATTAGGCACCACACGATCTCTGTGAACCACCCCAACCCTCAGAGGACAGATGGGGCATGTTTTTCCACACTACCCGACTTACTTCTAGTTATTAGAGCTAACTTCTCATTGCTATAATGTAGCTTTCGAATAGATCCTTGGTTACAGGCCCGAGAACGCTACCTCGATGCGATTAGCGACGAGCAGAAGGTTCTTTTCCAGAGTGCAACTCTAGAGAACTTATTCCACATCTACAATACTGGGACAGCTGAAACACAACACCGGGCGAAAAGTAGATCCAATACGGCAGCGAAAAAACTGCAATCATTTGTCGCTGCAGTCGACTACTTTGGCGGCGTTATCGACGCACCTCCTAGTGCGGCTTCATTGATCCTGCGTACAATATGGGACGGTTTTCGGGCATTATTATATGTTAGAGTACCCCTGATAAATAGATAAAACTACTCCGCTAATTCCTGAATAGCTTTCAAGTAATTTCAAGAAATATTACTCCAAATTAGTCAACATTCTCAAAAAGGTGGGGGATATAATATTTAAGTTCAATGCCTACGAGCGCTTATTCCCTACCCACAAACACGTTATCGGGTACATGCCGTTTGTTTATCTAGATGTTCTCGAGTTCTGCATGCAAGCAAACAATCTTTTCCGGAGCGCAAGGAGTGGTCAATGTAAGTCTGAAGAAATCTCATACAACACCAAATTAACCAGCCCCTAAATGCTGAGTTTAAAATGTCTTGCTTAGACCTATAACTAGGCACCATGCAAAATCTATGGAGTTCCTTTATGGAAGACTCTGGCGGATCTCTGAGAAGAATACAATACTATATGGAGAGGGTCGAAATCGAAGCAAGCTTATCTTATATAATTGAAGAGGCTGCAGATAAGGAGACACGCAGAAAAGAAATAGGACGGAGGGATCTAGTCCATGAACATGTCGATGACAACGAAAGGCGATCCCTTTCCAGTCGGATTCGAGGCCTAGAGCATTTTAGGGCGCAGAATGAGTGGGAAAGACATCTGATAATGCTTGAACGTAAGGAACCCTTTTATGATAATGTGCAATTGTATTACTAGCTTACATGCATTATAATGGATACCTAGAAGAGAAAATTGATGGAATATCAGCGCTACAAAGACTGTCGCAATGTCAGCCTAAGTGGAAGCATCATAAACTCCAAAGGGAGCGAGGTGCAGGCACGGGTAGATGGATAACGCTTACACACGAGTTTTGCAGCTGGATAAGTCAAGGCAGTTCGTCCTGTGTTTGGCTTTATGGGATTGGCACGTCTATATTATTACAAACCTTATTAGAATTTCCAAACGTTAACTTTCATTAGCTGGCTCTGGAAAAACCATGTTGACGTAAATTGTCCACTAGTGTCTATTTTGACATGGTGAGATTGTGCTGAAATTCTATAGGACTGCCGTGATTGACACCATCAAAACCAAACACGATCTTGGGGGTGCCCTCTTGGCATATTTCTATTACGACTACGAAAATAATGTGACACTCCGGGCCCGAGAGATCGTTGGAAACATAATTCAGCAGTTATCGAGTGACCTCCGGGTTTCTAGGAGAATCATTCGAATGGTAAAAAATATTTATAAGCGCGACTGTGTTCCAAGCATGCAAGAGCTCTCTAATATTCTTTTGCTATTGATTGAGGAGCTACCAAAGGTCTTTATCGTTCTCGACGGCCTAGATGAATGCAATGAGAAGGAGCGTGAACTTATCTTGCCATGGCTAGTTATGTTGGGACGAAGCACTACATCTATAGTTAAACTTTTTGTTTCCAGCAGAGTAGAAGACGACATCCGCAAATCATTCACCGGTCGTAATTGGTTTTCCATTGCCGCTAGTCCTAAAAGCGTCTCTTTGGATATTGCTACGGTTATTGGAAATACCATCAAAACGAAGATAAGAGACGAGAAGTTTTGTGTACGAAATCCCATTTTTCTACAAGAAATTATTGATACACTTGTGGAAAAAGGGAAAGGCAGGTATGTAACTATAAATTGATTAGTATCCCTTGATATTTCTCACTCGCTAACATAATGCAGATTTCTTTGGGTGAGATTTCAGCTCAACGATATCTGCGAGGAAATGTCAGAGGACGGTATCAGAAACGTTTTGGGCAATCTTCCAAGTGATTTGAACGAAACATACACGCGAGCTTTGGTTGAGATAATACACCAAGGTGCAACTCAGATCGATCTGGCTCAAAAGGCCTTTAGATGGATAGTAGCGGCCAGACGCACCCTAACTCTGGATGAGCTACGGGAAGCGGTTTCTATAGAAGCAAAGGATAAATCGGTTGATCTCGATAAAGTGCCAGAAGCCTCACAGGTCTTCAGGGCCTGTGGTAAACTTGTGGTATATGATCACCAGGACAGAAGTATTCACTTGGCGCATTACACTGTGCAACAGTTTTTAGTTTCCGATGTTTCACTTGACGAAATCGATATTTCCAGGCAGATTACCAACTTCCATTTTCGATCAGAGGTTGCTGAAATTGAAGCTGCTAACATTTGTGTCACTTATCTCATGTTTAATGACTTTGAAGACGATTTCGAACGCGAAAGGACCCTCGCCGTCACGCAATCCGAAATTTCGCATTTAACAGCGACAAGTTGGATACCAGATATGCCAGGCTTGGTTAAAAAGACAAAGAGCGATATGTTGATTTTCCTCCGCAAAGCAGGGTTCTCACGTCCATCAGTCGACATCAACCAATATTTTAATCTCCTTTTAAGACCTTGTAGAGCTGCCCGAATCAAACATCGATTCCTCGACTATACTATCAACCACTGGGTTGAACACACCATTTATCTCGAAGGCAGCCATGGACTGATTGAATCATTCGCAGAGCTAGTATTAAACCACAAGATTTATTTCAACTTCCGGCCTTGGGGAGATGGCGAGATCGGTATGTCAGACCGGTTGTGTGAAAATATGTTCCGTTGGGCGTTAAAGAATGATTATGGACATATTATTGCGATTTTACTTGCATCATCCACTCAAAGGACGGGTTATAAGCCTTTTGATACGCCCCCCGTCAAGATTCTCGATCACCTCGCCTCATCTTACATAAACTGCCTAGTGGAAGAGGAATTGCCTCTTTATTATGCAGCGAAAATGGGCTATGAGAGAACTTTGCAAGTATTTTTGTCTAATCATGGTCAAAAGCTTTTTTCATATTTTTACATCACACCCACCATTAAAACAGCCATCACTATAGCCATATCAAATGGACACAAACGAGCAGCAATGCTTCTGCTCGAAACGTTCGCTGGAACCCCAGAATTCGAACTTGGATATGATCAAAACACTTACTACCTTAATTTTACCCCAGAAGCATCCTCTCCTCGTGACAAAAATACCTATTTCCCCCTCCATCTGGCAGTAAAATTTCGGCTCAAAAAGGTTGTAGGCATTTTACTCAGCTCTTTCGGTTACGAGAAGAACGCCGCAATAAACGGTCCTGACACAACTGGACTCCGCCCGGTTCATTATTGCTCCCAAAATGGGGACCTGGAGATCTTAAAGCTTCTTTACTCATGTAAACCGTACCCGAACACCCCGACCGATGATGATGAAAAATCAACAGCTTTATACCTCGCTCTGTATAACGGCCATGAAGACGTGGTGAAATTTCTTTTGGGCATAAAAGCCTGTGTTGACGAAAAAACGTACACCTTGGCGCTCAAGACAACTCAACCTGGCCACCTCCAAGTGTTGGAAGCAATTTCTCTAACACTAGAGGCATCGATCCGATCGGATATCGACCGAAAGTTCAAAACTTCCTGGTATCACATCACAGCACACTCACTCGGACAACCGAGAGACGCGACATACTACGGTCCCTGCCAATAAAAGCCATTGTGGCTTCCTCTAAGGTTAATGATACCGAGGTTCTGGAGGAGCTATTGCTATGGGCATCGGAACACGAGCAGTCAGATATTTTGATTGAGATTTTTGTTGGGGCCGCGGAGGGTAGTACTAGAAATTTAGTAAAGAGGTTAGTTGGAATGGGTGTAGATGTAGAAGCCAGAAATTCGTTCAAGAGGAGAGCGATTTCACTGGCGGTTAGGAATGGCCACGAACATGTGGTAAAGATATTGGTGGAGGCAGGTGCGACAAAAACTAGCAAGAAAATGCGTGGAAGGAAGGCGAAATAATTTTGTAGGCAAAAGAATTTCTGTGATAACATGCTACTCTATTATTTTTTACTGGGCTCTTCAACTGAACCGAACCAACTGCAACCATCAGTCGGTCTACAATTAATTACGCTCCATATGACCGTTTCCTGCCAGATAAACATTTCCGTCTTCTCGGCATGCACCGCCCCTCCAACAAACCTTGTTCTCCAGCTAGACCTTCACCGGATAGCGTACACCTGACCAGGGAAAGAAAAGTAAAAGGAAATGCAAAGCTCTGAGACCGATTTGAACGATCGACCCTGCGATCTGCAATCGCATGCTCTAACCCCTGAGCTACCAGAGCTGGTTGTTGACATGCTCAAAAAGCGTTATATAAATTTTTACCCGCCCGACGTGTTAGACAAGCCAAGTATCACGACTTCTCGGGTTCAGTCGCACTACGCTGTAATCGCGCGAATACACTTTAAATAAACATTTGTCTACTACACACTGATGTAGTTCGCTTGAGCTAGATATACTACATGTATAAAAGAAAAGAAAAAAGGCATTTACATCCTATCCCTCAGACGCTTCTTCCCAATTAACTAATAATCAGTTACAGGAAAGTTGTTTAAAAAAACATAATTACGGAATGTAATAATAGTTGTAACTCATGTCCGTCATGAAAATCATAGTACAGCATGTCGCTCTTTGGAGGAGGAAGAAAGAAAGAAACAAGGGGGAAACGATCAGGATAAAACAAGTATGATAATGCATAAAGGATGCGATTGAAAAGGCATCAGCAAAGCGCTCATCTGAGCCCGCAGTTTTCTATCTATTCGTCACCATTGTCAATGATCAACATTGGCCCGCCACCCGCACCTTGGCCTGGTGCACCCCCAATAACTGCCCCTACCCTCCTTCCGTTACCTTGCAAGGTATTGGAGCCTATCCTTCCTACAGCGACAAGCGGTACTGGCGCAGAGCTTCCGTTACCATTTGTCGTACTTGATGATAGATTCCTCCTACTGCTCCTTCTTCCTAAGCCATTGGCTGACTCGGCCGCCTCTTGTCTTTGTCGCCGTATCATCGCCTCTCCTCGCGCACGAATATCCTCTGCTGTCAAGGGAATGCCCCTCCTGCTTCTTGATGCCGCAGCGGTCAAGATTGGCCTAGCGCCCTGTTGCCGTCCGTGGGCCGCTGCCGTACTTGTAACTCCTTGAAGCTGCGCTGGCTGTGAGGTATTAGGTGTAGTTGTAGCACTGCCCAGACGAGGACCCGAGCGGCTTGTGGTCCCTCGGAGCTGTTGCCTTGAATTCCTAGTGCGCATGCGGCTGGCTTGCGGGGAGGCTCCGATTGTAATCGGAACGGGTCTTGGTGACTGTAAAGAGGTTTGATTGCTGGAACCACCTTCGCTTCCTGTGCGTGCTTCAGCGCCTAGACGTGGGCTTTGCATTTGCGAATTACTGGGTGCAGGACTGTTTGGTACTGGACTGTTTGATGCCAGACTTGAACTTATACCCTGAAACATTGGTGAAAATGGCGGAGGCGGAGAGCCCTGTCCCATTGCTTGCACAGGTGTTAGTTCCCTCGTTGGTTCTCTTGATTCCCGAGTAGATTCCCTTGTAGATCTTGTGGCCCTAGACGATGACCCGCCAGTGTAATTTCTCTGCACCGGTGTTGCGCTCCTGGCAGGGCTAACACTCGGGTTCATAGAACCCAAACTTTCCAATCGACCTTCGGTCATTGCCTGACTGTGTTGTTGGAACATATTTAAAAACGCCGGGACAATCTCTCTTTGTCTTCGGCTAGCCCAGTTGCGGGAGCTACTCGTTTCACCGGGGCGATAGTTACTCATACTACCGGCGGCCTGTATTCGTCTTCGCCTTGTCGTAGGAGCATCAGAGTCATTCTCACTATCATCCTCTATAACGTGAGGGCGACTGCCTCTAGTTCTGTTCCTCACAGCCCTTTGACTACTGGGAATTCTCCTTCTTTGCTCGTTCCCACCCATCCTCACATCGCCATCCTGGTCTTCACTTTCATCATCATCCCCAAATGCACGAGATTCGTCATCCTCGTCGTTTTCCTCATCCTCTTCCGGAACACTGAAAACACTACCAGAGCCAGTGTTGTGACTGGCAACATTTGTGTGGTTTCCTCCGCCGGAGGACGGACTCACAAACGAGTCATCTTCGTTTTCGCTAGCTGTGTAATCCAAAGGTGTATACCCCATATTGTGTCCTAGGGTCTCCAAATCATCATCATTATCACTAGGCAATGCGATGGGCCCGCGCCGTTGGCTGTAGTCACGTCGCGAGTGTGTTGAGGATGCTTCTGAGACTGAGGATTGATTGTCCTCCTCTTCGTCATCAATAACAGTCCTCCTTGCATTTCTTCGAGTGGGTGCTATGATTGCCGGAGATGAAGAAATGACCACAGGACTGTTGTTAAAAATGTTGCGTGTCCCTGCTCCATTTCTTCCAGGTACTGGTCTCCCTCTCCGAACCTCGGGTGTGTCATGCTCTATAAAATCTTCTAAACTTCCTTCGTCTTCACTTGTTTCCGTATGATTAGTGGTCCTATGACTCGCTCTCCGCCGGGCTTGGGGGACAACCCTCGGTGGTCTTTGAACATTTCTTGTTGCCTCATCGGTATCAGAACCATCTTCGAGGATGATTGGTTCATCTCTCCCACCAGTTGTTGATTCTGAGGAATCCCGCATTCTATTTCTGTGGTCCTCCTCGTCCTCCTCCTCGTCGTCGTGCTCATTCTCATCTTCCTCATCCTCATCGTCGTCGAATTGGCCTTGGAAGTGGTTGCGAGCAAACATGTGAATCGCATCGTCCGCATCCCAGTCATCTTCGTCCAATTCGTTCTCGTCGCTTGATTCAAATAGGGGATGCCTTCTCTCGTGATCGGTGTCAGTCTCGGACCCAGAATCGTCTTCGTCATCATCTTCATCATCCTCATCTTCATCCTCATCGTCATCGTCATCGTCATCATCCGAAAAATCCCCATAGCGAGACAAACGCCGAAATCTACCGCCACAGTGTTCACAGATACGATTTCGATATCCATCCTCTATCTCCCAATTACATCTTGGGCATCTTAACACCCCATCCCCTGGGTCACGTACTACTCTTGGGTCTTTCTTTTTCCCTTTGAACAACCCGCGGAATAGTCCACCTTTAACTGTTCCTTCACTAGCTTTATCTCTTTCAACTGCTTTCAGGGCTTCTTGCTGCTGTTTTCGTAACTCTAAGCCATTTCCATTAGGCGATGTAAGTTCGGCACGCAACACAAATACTTCGATCATATCTTTAATCTATGGACAAAATCATGGTGAGCAGGTTTGAAAATCGATTGATAGCAGAGTATTGGGAATTCACGAACCAAGTATGCTGGCGCCGGCTGGACTTTGACGATACTTCGGCATTCGGGGCAAGTCATTTTATGGGCCTGGTCTAACCAGTCCAGCATGCACTACTCCGCCATCAGCTATGGTTTAAATCCAAGTATCGTTGAAGGTTTTACATACCGTGTAACAAAACACATGCCCACACTGAAGCGTGTATGGCTCAAAAAGCATCTCCAGGCAGATGACGCATGTGAGCGACTTCTGCAGCTTTTTCAAGTCGCAGTTAAGATCCTCAATCACCTATTTTTTCACACTTAGTCACCCCTCCCAGCGTTTCAGCGTTTCCCCCCGCAACACTCATCAAAGCGTAGCAAACCCAGTCAAAGAAGAGGTATAAAATGCAGGTATACGTACATCGTCCTTGTAATCCCGCTTGGGCGCTGTTTCGACTGAGATATCTTTCTTTGCAGCTGTGACATTGACACTCGATGCTGGGTTTACAGCTTTGAAATCACCTTTGACACCCATATTTCCAGGGCTCCCGTGAGGTGACGAGGGGTAAAGGGGAGTCTCTTATGTCAGTACCCTTCGGGTGATACCGAGTTCCGGAATTGTATTATTATTGAACGCGGCAGTGATATTTGAGAATGGTGCAAACAGAGCTAATTCGAGCGCCGAAGAAGCGTGCGATTAGCAAGATTGTATTTATCAATACTGTTGAAGGAGGGGCAGTTGATAAAGAGGAGAGAAGGGAGGGGAGGAGGGGTGAAGTGGGAAAGATGGGGCCGAGAGTAACACGAGAGAGAGGGAAAGAAAAAACTACTGCAACGTGAGAAACAGATTGAGGAAAGATGGATATGTTGGGGTACAAGCCCACAACACGGAATCAGGGTAGCAGCAGCAGGGGAAGATGTAATGTGATGTAGAGGTATGCACGGCGTAAGGTAGCTGGGGAAACAATTTGTAGGGATGGTGGGCGCTGGTGGCGTCAAAGCACCAGCGACAGACCGACACGCATGCTGCGACGTTGTTTAAAGCTGTCGGTCTGGTCTGTTGGTGCCTGATGACAGCCAACCGATAGCTAGATGTAGCTATCGGTACTTCCCACACCATCCCACCATGTTCCTCTGGTTACCACACAACCAATGCCTTCCACCACTACCACAACCACACAGCAGATATATATCCATGGCCCTCCACTACTGCTGCTGCTGCTCCGAATTCCCTATCCTCACTCACCCTTCCATTTCTCCTATGAAACAGCCGTCTGACTGTATGACAGCGTGTTCGTCGAATCCCGGCCACAGCGGAAAGAGGAAGAAGGCTCGAGAAGGGGAAAGCATAACAAACAGATGATGGACCGACTTACTCGCGATATGCGCCAAATTCCAACACGACCTGAACGTTTATACCGGGGGAGAGAGCAATATTGCCTTGCTCGCACCGAAGTAGAAGGGATATCTGGATGTATTTACGTTGGGCTGGGGAAGACGAGGAAGCAACTACTACACACTGCGCCGGTAGCTACAGATTGCTGAAGAAAGAATCCGCACAAAGGAAGTTTGAAGGTTTTTGGTACTTTTACAAAACCGGCCCATGCAGGCTGGATTATATCATCCATCCACCCAACCCTCTTGGCGGTGTGGGTTGGTGTGGCAGTTGCAATTGTGGCGCTAACTGGCCCACTAACCCTCGCCCTGATCTGTTTTTACCCCTGTCATGATTCATCCTTCCTTCCCCCCTTAAGAGCTTGTTTCGCTAATCCTACTACAACCCTAAAACATTCACAAATATCACCACACCCCCACCCAGCCTTATTTCCCCATTACTAGGGTGTGCAATTCCCCCAACTAACTCACTCACTCACACCAATCGCACACACACACAGCCCTAAGAAACTGACTAGGATCCAATTTAAACAGGAATCACATAATTTTGTTTCCCTCGCCCATGCCTGGATCTGCCGAATCATGTGTTACGGCTGCCGCCCTGCGCTACCTACTAAACAATCTCATCTAGAATCTGAAATGAGAACATCACTCCTCAGGTCTCGATTCCTTCTCGCCTTCTCTTCCCCGATTCGCGGCTCGTTAATCGCTGCTGTTAAAATTGGAAATGGAAACAAATATCAGCAACGACGTTACGTTACAGCCTTAGCTAGGCCCGTTTCTTGACGGTTTGGTGTCTTCAGCAGCAACTTCCGCCACTTTCACCGGAGATTCAAAGGTCTAGAAGCGCGCCGTTTCGAGACCTGGCGGTAGTGGAGATTCGAGTGAAACTCAAACGTATTGCATACATATCTAACTACATACTACCACGAGATATAAAAAAATGTTCATCTCCCGGAACTAAGGAAGCGAGACCTTTCATGTATCATCCCATCTCATTCCATCTCATTCCATCTCATCCCATCTCATCCCATCCCCATTCCATTCCGATGCCTGATCTGCGGCATATAAAAAAAACCTCCAGGGGGGAAACAATTCGTGCCGGATCCCTGTGCCGTGAGATTCGTCCTCTTTAATATGCGATACAAGGATCCGGCTTCTTTGGGAAACAAAAGTGCAATTGCACTCTACGATGAAATCAAGGAAGGAAGGAGGTAGAGGGAGGGTGTGGATTTCGAGAAAGCAACCGAAGACCCCGAGGGTAGCACGTGCCACTTGCTCGATCATGGTTTCACCAAAGTTCACATACCCGCCCGGCCAGGCAACGAGGCAATGTCTTTTGGGTCTATAAAATCCGGCACCGGAACGACCTCTCGGCCCGAGGGTTGGTTAGTTGATCTGCCTGCTACAATGGCCGAGTGAGAGGTTATGATTAGTTAGGCTAGTTACCGCGCCTACGCTACGGTCATTATAGAATCGGGGTTCAAGTAGTTGATTTTTTAAGATGGCTGCCACTGGCCTTGCCCGCGCATTAGGCACCTAATTCCCGTCTGTGAATCATCGATATTTTTGACAGCGCAACTATATATCCCTGTGGCTGTATTTTCTTTTTTTACTTCCCGCGGCCGCGAGACTTAGTCTCTAAGTCGAGTGATCATCCATGAATGTTTCCGTCATATATAGTCACTCGATAGTTGCATGCAAGCTCTTTTGTAACCGCACATCACCACCCACGAACGTTTTGAGATGGTGAAAGGCGTGTACCGACAACATTCAAGGGTCAATCTACTCTCTTCTCTTGCTGTAAACTTACCCCATTCTCAAGCTTAGTACACAAGGAAGCAAGTCCCGCACGTTCTATATTATAACCTGCGCGCGCTAGTTAGTAAGTGGTGCGCGTCAACTAGAAATAACGGGGTCGACAGCTCAACCCAATCCGTGCACTGCCCAAAAACCTATGACTACATTAATACCCATTCTCTACGGTGGTAAGAGGGGCACATACCACGGGGTTATACACCACTCAAGTGTCAGAGAGTATCTGGTTCAGTCCGGCACAAACACACCTGCCTATATACAGACGGCGTTGGGAGGTGATCAATGACCCCCGAGTCTCCTGGCTCTCCCGGCTCTCTGCTCCAGTACGAACCTTTTCCGGGGAGAGGGGGCGTTTGTACTCCAGCTTCTAGATCTGTACAGGCAGAAGAAGTGACAAAGTAGTCTTGACTTGTAATTTGGACCTTGGATATTGGCAGTATGATGAGCCAAGTAAGGTCTGACCTAGGCTCGTCCCCAACCCGTCTGCTTCCATGCTTCCAGCGGACGGGCTGGTGCTATTTCTTTCCAACTTGGGTGAGATCTTTTTGTATGGGGTGTCGGGCTGTCGGGGTGGCTGTCGGGCTCAATTTACATACAAAAAATAAAGTTTTCTTAATTAGCTTCCGACATCAAAATTATGGTTTATTCTGACCCCGATATCACATTTCGGGATTTTATATCACAAGTCGGGCTTCTACATCACAATTCAGAGCCCGATATCACATTTCAGAGGCCGACGAGAGTGTCGGCCGACATTTGTCGGGAAGATAATGTTCCAGGCCCTACTGGCGAGCAACTTGCTGCTAAGTAGGGGATGGGTACGAGACTAGGTCTGACCCGATGCGGTCTTTCTGAGATGTAGCCATCTTGGCACGGCCCGACTGTCACTGAACATTCCGTAGCGTCGTAACTCCCGCCTGTTATCCTGTTATCAATCAATCAATCATCTGTTATCCTTGGCGCTTGCAGTAGCCTTCCGCTCAAAGATAATTCAGAGCCACCAACACACATGGGCGAGTGGCCTAGCGGTTAACACTCGCCTTCCGGACGGACACCGAGAGGTTGTGCCTTGCCTTCGATTACAGGAGGTCCAGGGTTCAATCCAGGGGTGGGAGTAGTAGATATGGCTGGACCATCAATGCTACTTTTTGTCCTTTTTGACAACAACCACGAGTTATTGAATATTGTCTTGCTCCCCCAATTCATGGGACATCATCCCCGCCAGGTCTGAAGGCCACAACACATGCTCCGGATCAAAGTGTCCACCGACCAGAACTACCCGATACCGCAGGATTTATAAAATAGAACGTCCGCTGGTAAATAGTGCTAGTGACTGCACTGATAGCTGTACCATGCATTGTTCGCCGGAATCTGCATATGTTCTTTTCTCGGGGATACAATCTATCAGCTAACACCGGCCCTATCGCCGTGACTGGGCCGTAGCGAACTGAGATAGGCGTCTGTGTACCTGGTGAGCTTGGTGCCATGACCAAGAGAGGTCTTCGCCGACGGGTGGAGTTGTGGTCCTTAGTGGGGTAAATGGGAGGCGCTCTTTCACTGCTTTCTGGACGCCGAACTCATCTTGGAGCGCCGGTCTTCGGGCGACCGTGCAGTCTGGGCAGGGAGACCACCAGTTCGGGACTTGGTCGACGGCCGCGGGCTTACATGCGTGGCGAGGAAGACTTCGCTACACCGGTACGGAGGCGGTAAGTTCATATCTTAGTAATATCTCTCGGCTGTTCTGGTAGAGTGAAGTCCCAGCTTATTGTTTTACTAGTTTAGCCTACGGCCTACGCCCGTGAAGAGATCTAGCTGGACTTGGGGTACTGCACGGTATCTACTCCTGTTCTGCCTCAGCAGGCGGGAAGATCTATCGCGAGGCGTATAACATCCGGCGCCGCGCCGCACTATGTCGTGTATTACATGCATGATGTCTAGTTCATAAATTCAAACAAATTCAATCATTTATTTAAATTCAAAATCTTTAGCCTAAGCAATTTGTTCCTACAGTTCCGGTTGCACTGTGCGCACAAATGGGGAAACAATTTTCAGACGCTAGTATATACGAGTGATATCTCATGATTCCATTCATACCGACCAACCCCGTAATAGAAATTTCTAGAAATCGGTATCCACGTTTTAGCTTTTGTCCGAGCTGAAATCTCATGAATACGAGCATTTACATCATTATCTGGTCATACATACATGTATTGAGACGTATTAAATGTGTGTGCCTTGACTCATATGCCGTGTCCATATAATGTGCCTTGCTTCGCGGGCGAATGTAAACGAATTCATGGCATGTACAGTACAGTGCTACGTTCTACTTTCAGTATAAGATCCTACATAGACTCCCTTACTCCAGTGCAATTCAGATCTTTAAACTTTACGAGGCTGCATCACGATCACGTGCAAGGCTGTATCGTGATCTACAGACATGTACAAGCTACACCTAGGTGCAACCGGCCTCCCAAGGCAAACTCGGTACTCGATAATAATGCTCCGCAAACACATGCAAGGAGCTGCTAACGTTACGTACATGTATATCTCAACAATGCCGGTTGTCTGTCACGTGTCCGTATACAATGCAGCTAGCTGCAATGTCATCTTTTAATTCAATTAAATTTACCTATTCTAGCGGCGTACCTGGTCGATATATGTGTAGGAGACTATGGGGACGCGTTTGCAAAAGATACTTTCAAAGGCAGTTTTGGGGACAGTTTAGAAGGTTACTATCAAGAATATCAAGATGCTGTATGACATACCACGACAACAACTGCATACTAGCTGTGCTGCCATATATCTTAATAGCCATCCTAGCTAACAATCCGTGTATACGTACTTGCGTACACGTGGTATATCGTAAGTGCGAGTATACATAGATTTAAACTTTCACGAACCTTGGTGGCAGACTACATGTAACCTCTAGATCTCAATAGACATGCTTCGGGGGTGTACTGCAATAGCGCTATAGCACTGTGCTAGCTGACGTTCAGAGTATGTAGTACGTGTATAACGATGACACGTTGTGGACCGATATGCACAGCTAGCTACAGATGGGGATGTAGCTAGTGCCTCCATCTTGCAAGCTTCATCTTTCCATGTCATCTTGTCATCCCACTCTATTTCTTCGATTATGTGTCAGTCAAAAACGTGTCTCATCTAACCCCGAGACTATCATTACTGGGACTACTACTTTCCATAACAACCTATTACTTCAGAATCCCAGGGATTGAACTGAAACGGTCTACTCAGAATCGAATCTGGTATCGTGGACATGTAATTCGCGTCTCAAGCGGGGGGCACTTCTATATAAACAAGACCCCATATATCCGTTGATCAGTAGGATCGGCTTTGGGAGTTGTGTTGGTTGGTTGTGGAGAGCCTGCGCATGCGTATAAGCTGGGATGTAACTGTATTAATATTATCAACTGATGCGATCTGGGCAGCCAGCAGAAAGCTTGCTAGGTTATAGTTACTGTCAACCTAAGACCAGATAACAGATCGAATTAATAGGCAGGTTAGCCGACTAGGTGTTAAAACACGTTACAAAAGCTGTGTGGTTGTAAGCGATTAAGTATATGTGTTAGTTTTGAGGCCCTATAAGTTAAGCTACGGCAACCCAATCATCATCATTCTCATCTCCTTCATTCGAGCAATAGAGAAACAATCTTCTCGAGATCTAGACTAGTATTAATCCAGACCTCAGATAGAGAGCTCGAGAGGCCTCGATCACCCAAGCCTGCAGCTGAAAACGTTACGGATTAAGCCTTGTTCTAGCAATATGGCTTTCATGAGCGAGTTGATTACAATATATATAATATTAATCAGGCAGCTCAGCTGAAAACAAATTATATTTCTCAGCGATTTTATTACTACGATCGTAAACGGGTTAGTTCCGGTAGTTCTTGCGGCCCCCGGTTTTTCTTAATAAGCTTGCTAAAGCACTATGGAAGCGTGATTTAGAACAACATTTCTTCTGGGCCGGGACCATGTCTGTCTAGATCTTTGCTGCTCTATTGCGACCGGTCGGTAAAAGGTTGACATATATCGAATTTGACCTCGAGTGACACAACATGATTCCAGGCAGGGTAACCCTTGTCCAAACCGACTTGAAACCGAAAGCATTTGCATGGCTAACAGGCTAGCGCCTCCCGTTTGATCCTTGGATCCTTTGAAATATTTTTAGCACCAAAAAAACCAGACACACGTACGTATGATGAAGGATCATGATTACCGCGTTACACGTTCATGCTTGATTAGACTTTTTGGCTCGAATAGAATTTTACGTTTTATCTTTTGTCGGGCTGCACTGGTTGACGTACTAGTACTGCGCAACGGGCCGCGAAAAATGAGAGAAACCCAACTAACGTCTCTTGACTTGGATCCGCAGGGGATGCCGATTTCCCACCGGCCACCCCAACTTTTGGGCATAACGCGTACGGGCAACATTCCGGTGGGCGAATCTTAAACAACATTAAAAAACTAGAGTACACTTATCTCTGGTCTTTAGGGGAGCTTTTGACTAATATATGCCAATGATAGTACAAATATTAAATCTCTCTAACTACGTATACCTGGCCGCTAATAGATCGTTCTGTCTTGGGGAATAACAGCTGGTCTAAACCGTAACTCATGCTCATGAAGTTTTGAAATTAAAACTCCAACAGCATGCGGTGATATAATATAATCTCGACCAAATTCTCAACCATACACGGAGGAGAGTGCCATAGTACGCGTATGCCTGCCTATGTACTCTGTTCTTCTGTTCGAAAGAAACACCCAGGAGCTATCAAAATTCTTGAATCAAGCTTTATGCGCCTCTGACAGCTCTTTGGCTGCCGAGTCGCAGTGCTTTCAAAGAATATACATGTGCAGTCCTCCTGTGAAACAGTTATCATCCGACCCTTGAAAACACATGCATCTTTCTTCCCGCAATGATCGTTGCATGATGCTGCAACGGCCCCCATCATACACCCGCTGGTTGTTTTGATTATCTATTCAATGTCACGCATTCGATATTCGGCGCGTGCACAAGGCTGATAGGAGTACTTGATCGTCGCGCGATTTTATTCGCGTAGGCAAAGTACTCTACGTTGAATTATCATGTTGTACAGAAACCCAACTCGGAACATATGCCGAGAAAGACCTGTAGTACGAGAACTATATAATAACACTTACGCGGTTTTCTTTTATTGTGCAACACCAAATAAGAAAAAAATAGGGAAAAAAAGAAAGATTCCCTGCGTCAATCACCGAGAATAGTTTCCATATACAAGGCTTTTACAAGGCTGGCCCGCGGCCGTTATCACTGCCGACATCTGTCGAAAAACTGCCTTATAACGATTCAAACGGGGTTTTCTTTCTTCTGGAAGGCGTCTATAGAACCGATACTTTGATTATCATTTCCCTTTTTATAACGGGACGGATGGACGGGATGGGTGACAGGTTGGTGGTAAGACAGATAAGGCAGTTTAATTCCGTATCTACCCTCGAATCAGGTTGATGTTGCGATATAGAAATTAGTTGATATCGAAAGTTCCATCTACATATCATCCGACAACTAGCTAGACAGGGTGGATGAAATCCCACGCCTACTTCCATACTAGAAAGTTACCAAGGTAAAGGTTTCATCCGATTAATCGTATCGTATCTTGCATGCTTAGTGCAAATGCCATAACATCGATGGATTCGATACATTTCCGGCCCATAGGCCGTTTGATCAAATCCCAAGTAAGGGTAAATATATTTATCCAAATGACATGACTGAACTACTATGTTTGATATTCCTGTTTTTTTGTACCGGGTTTGCACAGGTCCCCCGAGGGAAAGTGCTCAATAATTCAAAATGAATATATGGTTTAGTTTGATAGCGACATATGCATCTGGTAACTTTAAGCCTACTCTAGCTATCTACCCTGACAACATTACTTTACAGCCAGGATCTAGAACAGGGGAAAGGCCAGTAGGTGGAGCGACAAATTCAATTACAGTGCGTTAGCCTCTCCTCCCTTCCTTCCTTTCACTGTCTAGCCTCGCTTTCTTCTCCACGATAACGGGGATTTTGTTCGATGGCCATTACCTAATTTGTGGGGTTTATCGCCTCGACACGGACGACGCGAGACTCGGTAAACGCTGTAATGGCATGGCATGGGTATGTTTCGTTAGTAAATATGGGGAAGTGCGTGGGTGGCTCTGATCAAAAAGTGGGCAAACAAAATCTCACGATGGTAGATATCGATAGCTACGAAGGAAGCTCGCCATAAATCGGAAGTTTTATATTTACTTTTTTTTCTCCCTTTCCTTTTTGCAACTAGTGTCATGTCGGCGGTGGTTACTAGCATGATCTTTGACAGGATCCCAACCCAAGATAACATACATGAGAGGTGCTACCTCCAAATCGAATCGTGCCGGTCGATGGCAGCGGTATCACCCGACACACCTGCAAAACCGCAAACCCGAGAGCTTAAAAGTTCACCGGAGCCGTGGCGCCAAGTTCAAATGCCAGTGTTGGTAATCATAAACTAAGAAGGAATCCTTTCATGTTAATTAACGGAATCGGGAGGGCTTGGATAACTAGAGTCTAGTTTGGTGTGCACTACTTTGGTTCGGCGATTTGGTTGTGACTGCAGCCGGCGGAAATCTGAAGAATCTCTTGTCAACGGCGAGCTTATTCCCTTCACGATCCTAGGGCCTTCTTGGCCTGCAAGCCACCGCCCTAGCTAAGCATCAATTCTTCCAGAAGTTGGGAAGGAGTTTAAGGTTGATAGAATCCGAGATATGTGTACTGCCTAGGTATGTGACACCGAATTAAATGCAGAGAGAGTGCTCCTCCAAATAAACCGCTTTGATACGATCATCAGAGAGAGCAGCCAATGATCCAGGAACGAGCAAAGAAAGGCCAAGCAAAACGTGGGGGAATCTGATGCTCCTTTATACATATGCAGTCTCCGTATTCGTGATAAAAAGGGCTAACAGCGGATCTCATCGGCTTCTTCATAGTTTCCCTCAAACGAGCAATGAAGTCCGTTCGGTGCCTCCGTTTCGTGGCTGCGGCGTCTGTCTGGCGAACGATGTGCTGGTTGGTTGAGTTGGTTGAGGGGACGTTACACCACCACCGAGAAGTTTAAACAAAGGCTCGATCTCTTGGCTACTTATGGTTGTCCCTTCAAATAGTAACGGCGAGCGCCGATAAGCGGTTTTCATGCCATGCATTAATATTGCGGCAAATAAAATATTGATCATGATCCTTCAGGTGTTCACGATATCAAATTCGGTTTTGGGGAGGCATGCAAAGAATATTCCTAAATAATAGTGCGTTGCTTATTGTAACGCTGGGTACAAAACGGTAGCCTAGGTCTATGGCTATGCTAAGTATCTTGTACCAGATTCCCCCTATAGCTACATAGACTTATTACAAGAAAAGCTCTTAGTTCATATGTACCTAGATAGCCCATGAAGAGCTAGAGCAGGTACCGTTACTGTTACGCAGTGTGCTCTATTGACCTGACCTTATTTGCTTCTTCGTAGCCCCTATGTAGAAGATGGCAAAAGTTCCCCTATGGCCATTAAGTCGCGCCCGACCGAGGCATTAAAGTTTGATGACGGAATATGTCTTTTTCGTTCCTTTTTCCTTTTCCCCTGGGGTCCAAGCAAAAGCTGGGGAAAGGAACGCCTGCGGCTGCAATTGAGCGTTGGGGCTTACTGGCATGTGACGATGTTTCAGTCCCTCATCCTCATATGTAAAAGGTTTCATCCAACCAATAGGGCATTAATTTTCCGAGCGTCTGGAACATTAAAAACGAGCTGCAGTGTTTAACATGAGGTTTATCCGGGTGGTGGCGGTGTGTCGCGAACCTCATGATGTATGCTGCTGTATCGATCCATCGATCCGCAGCCCTCCCCCTTCGACACAGGTTTAATATGATTATGATTATGGGCGGCGAATCCATGTCGGTCATGTTAATAACACCACACATTCCAAGGTCGCATATGAAGCTTGAATATGGAAGGTGCTTCGATATTGGCTGGCTGCTGCTGCTGTATGTATCTCTGCGAAGGTACGGTTAGTCTATGGGTAAATGGAATCTCTGAACCTTCTGGAGGAAGGTTCGTCGAGGGGGATGAGGAGAAGGCGCCGTCCGTACGTACATTTGCGGGGTAGAGGAAACTACGGTAACTTTTTTGTTTGCATGATGGGACTAACATCGAGAAAGGAAGTTTGTCACGCGAAACTTAGGCAGGTACGGTAGCAGGACCTTTTAGTTGAAGGGCTAGAGTGCTTAGAGGTTGGCAGGGTTCGTATGGATGACCCACTATTTGTGCGCGTTAATGAGTACAATCCGTTTTCGACTTTGAATCATCGTCTTAAGAGTCAAGGCCAGTGACTGACTGGACTGTTAAATGGGTTTTGATATGATACTATTAATTGTTTTCTCATCTGATACTCTAGAGGTATGTAGAGATAAACAAATCTCAGCTGTGGGTCTGTGGTGGTGGCCATGGTTGGCCAAGTTAGGAGAATCGAAAACAGAACAAGTTATTCCGGGGAGCTGGAGGAGGTGTTTGAATTTGCTTTTTCTCCATTGGTTGCTAGACTACCGATCTACACCAAATTCCGTTGTGGACCAATCAGCGCCGGCCTAGGCACGCGACACCGCCAGGTCGTTGCCCCACCTTCAACGACGATGATCCAAAAAATTGCCTAACTTGAAGGTTTTCGCAGCTTCCTGTTCAGGATTTCCCCTTCTTCTTCCCACCCTCCTCTAGGACAGGACGGGGTAAAGAGAGTGAAAATGTGAGGAATGGTCTCTAATTCGTTGTGGGAAGACCCTGAAAGTAAGATTCGAGAAATTTTAGGGCATCTCCAAGACTCTTGGGATTGTGCTTTTGGAGGTTGGGGACTGGTCATCCAAGACTCGACTGTTAGAATGATAGATGCTTATCTGTCAAGCTTGTCAAATGGCCATCATCACCGGGAAGTGGATGCGGTTCCTTATCAACGTTAATTTTGAGAGCATTACCTAGCGCAATCCAAGTAGTGCTTTCATTTGCTATTGTAATCCTATGTCACCAGAAGCCAACGTCTTTTTCTCTAGGTCTATGGGTTGAGGAAGTTGACATATAGAAAAGTAGGTGTACTACATGATATCTCCATTTGTCGATGTCTAAGAAACGGCATCTAGGTAATTATAAACATAGATTCAGCTTTTCAGAGGCAGGCTCTCACAAAGGCATCCTGCAGCAGCACTCTTTCAGGTGTGGTTGCATGAAGGCTACATACAGTGGAAATGATATTAATTCACGGGAGGGTGATGCCGGGGGTATTGCCCATCCATCATACACACCATATCCATCTGCGTTACAGTTCACCTGGAGAAGTCTCCGTTTTTGCCTCCACCCCCAAATCAATCTGTTGCGGCGGGCCCTTACCAGGCAAGGCGCCTTCCTACCAAGTTTGCTTGCTCTATACCCCCACCGCGCTTGCCTATCAGCTAGAGAAGGAAGTTTAGTGAAACTCCATGTAACTACATATACCATACATACCCTACTACAATATGGACCTAGCCCGTTGCGGTAGTGATAGCTATCTACATATTCTTGATGTTCGATTCTGCTGGTTCCCGTGTGTTAATACTTAAATACCGTTTATATCCCACCATGCTGTAAGGTGTCCTCCATCCCTCACCCCTCCCATCTATAATATCCCATCATCCCCCTTCCTCCCTCCCTTGCGCGAGTGCAAGTTTTTCCTGAGGAACCATCCCCCATCATAACCAAAGATGGCTGGAATAGAGAAAGATCCTTCCCCGGCGTACGCTACGGAGTCCTCCTCCACCACTCGGAGGGAGGGTTTCGTCGCCGACTTCATCGACGGCTTCAAGCCCCATCCCATCCACGCCGCTGCGAGTCAGAAGCGCCGCGATGCGGCAGAGGGCGGCACATATGATATCGAACAGGCCGCAATCAATGTCGCTGAATCGCCCCTTTCGCGAAAGCTCAAGGGCCGTCATTTGCAGATGATTGCCATCGGTGGCTCCATCGGTACGGGTCTGTTTGTCGGTTCTGGTAAGGCGTTGGCGACGGGTGGACCGGCGTCGCTGCTGATTGCGTTTGCTCTCATCGGAGGAATGCTGTACTGTGTGGTGCACGCGTTGGGCGAGCTGGCTGTGTTGTTCCCGATTGCGGGTTCGTTTTCGGCATATTCTACAAGGTTTTTGGATCCGGCTTGGGGTTTTGCAATGGGCTGGAAGTAAGTACCGGATTTTTCCAGTTATCTTTTTTTTTTTTTTACTATTACCATTTCCGTTTTTTGCCTCTTTTTCCGATTACTCTGGTTCCAGGAGGGGGATGGCTTGAATATGGGATGGATTATCTTTATTACGCGCACGCACTCTCCCCCAGATTACAACGGAAAAACTAACCGCTGTCTTTAGTTACGCGTTACAATGGCTCATCGTCTTACCGCTGGAAATCGTCGCCGCATCGATAACAATTGATTACTGGCACTCGACGGTCAATAAAGCCGTCTGGGTCACTATATTCTGGGTTTTGATTGTAATAATCAATTTATTTGGTGTCAAGGGTTACGGTGAAGCTGAATTCGTCTTTTCGATCATCAAAGTTGTTGCCGTTATTGGTTTCATGTAAGCTGCATTCCAGCCCCACACACACACCCCACATGAGGCGGCAGAATTGGGAATACTTGGTTTAATTTATACTGACAATTACACAGCATACTCGGTATCATCCTTGATGTCGGCGGCGGTCCAAATGGGGATTACATCGGCGGCAGACATTGGCATGACCCTGGCGCCTTCCATTCAGGTTTCAAGGGTCTCTGCAGTGTGTTCGTGACCGCAGCCTTTGCCTTTGCCGGTACCGAACTTGTGGGTCTTGCCGCCGCAGAAACCGCGAACCCGCGCAAGTCTCTCCCCACAGCCGTCAAGCAGGTGTTTTGGCGTATCTTCCTCTTCTACATCGTCTCCCTCACTCTTGTCGGGCTCTTGGTTCCATACAACGAGCCGCGTCTTTTGAGCGGAAAATCAAGTGCCGATGCCTCTGCCTCTCCCTTCGTCATCGCCATTGAGAATGCTGGTATCGAGGCTCTCCCCAGCATCATGAACGTCGTCATCATGATTGCTGTCCTCTCAGTCGGTAACTCCTCCGTCTATGGTTCCTCCCGTACTCTTGCTGCCCTCGCCGACCAAGGCCAGGCCCCCAGAATCCTAGGCTACATTGACCGTCGTGGTCGTCCTATGGTCGGAATTGCCCTCTCGGCCCTACTTGGTCTTCTTGGATACCTTGCCGCCTCTGATAAGCAGGGTGATGCTTTCGGATGGATGTTGGCCATTTCTGGTCTCTCCTCCATCTTCACCTGGGGCTCCGTCTGTCTCGCGCACATCCGCTTCCGCCGTGGATGGGCTAAGCAAGGCCACTCTCTCGACGAGCTTGCCTACCGGTCGCAGCCTGGTGTCTTTGGATCGTGGTGTGGGTTCATCCTCAACTGCTTGGTCTTGATTGCGCAGTTCTGGGTTGCAGTGTGGCCAATTGGTGAGGATCCTGATGTGGAGGTGTTTTTCTCAATCTACCTCACTGTTCCCGTGGTGTTGGCGTTCTACATCCCCTACAAGATTATCTACAAGACTCCCTTTGTCAGGTCGGCCACTATGGACCTGACCACCGGACGTCGTGAGCTAGATCTGGATGCCCTGTTAGCGGAAGAGCGCAGGGAGAGAGCTGCATGGCCGGCGTGGAAGAAAGCGTAAGTTTTTCAAGTCCTTCCCTAGGTTTACTTGCTTGAATATTTGCTAACTTATTTTTTTTCATTTAGTTACAAGGTCTTCTGTTAGACGTCTCGTTTTATTTATGCGTTTTTTTTTTTATCTTTTACTCTGCGTTGTTTAGTGATAAAGAAGATCCTAGATCCGGGCCTTTTTGCCGACAGCGCTTTTTTTTCTATAGGAAACATAGAAGATCCCGAGAAAAAAAGGAAATCGGGCCTTTTTCTTTTTGCCTATATAGTTAATGTCTCTTTTTTTTTTCTTTTCCTTGGATTGGGGGTTTACGTTTAGCTAGCTCATGGGTGCTTGTCTATATCTTTATGATGGTGTTGTGTGCAGCTTGCAATTGGTTGAACGCAGTGCTATGAATCTCTTTTTTTTTTTTGTCTCAGGTGCTCATGGTTAACGCAAGCTTTGTATGATGGTTTTTTTGTATCATGAAGCCTGACTGTCTGTATTAGGGATGCTTTATCTTAGATGCAAGATACAAATAAACAAGATGAGTCTAATGGAAGAATCATGACCTTTATCAACTGTTGATGCATACAAACACCTCCTCCGCCTATCTGTACTCTTTGTATCTGTATCTGTGTTCTCTATCTTCTTGTTCGCCCGCAACCGCGGGGGCTTCAGAAGCAGCATACGCAACGAAGGCGTAGCCAGCTAGCCCATTTTTCGTTTCCAGATAGATATCGGGTGTTTGCCCTCCTCCCCACAAGACGACTATGGGACAGACAGCTTATCAGCGCACTGACAGCTAGCGGGGGAGACGCTAGACACCCAGATCTACATGTATGTATGTGCCCTCTCACTCCCCGTGGGGTAGTTAACCCCGCGTCGTCGCCTCGTATCGTGTCGTTACGTAGCTTACTAGCTAGTGCTCTGGAGGTACTAATATCCTTTCCCTCTAGCTTAGCTGCGAACTGCGCGGAGGTACTCTACGGTTGCGATGTTAGGGCGGTCGGTGGTTGTTACGTTTGGGGAGAGGCTCGCGTGCGCGTGAGAGGGAATTCGAATGTTGGACCCGGGGTGCGGTTGGTGAGGTGGGGGGTGGGGGCGAGTGATGGGTTGTGATCGGGGTGTGGCCCCCACGGTTAGTTTTGGGTTTTGGTTTGGGTGTGGCCCCCACTGGGTACTAACTAGGTGTGGAATATACAGAATATTTGAATGGGCTGGTGTGTTACAGTGCGCTGTGTGGCTTATGGGTTGTGGTACTGCTTTTTCGATATTATATTAGACACTTGGATATTGATGATTATTCGACTTTATATATACTGACTGGTAAATTAAAGTCATACCCGTACGTACGTATGGCTTCTTCCTTTTGCTCCGTCCATTCAAAGTAGCGATACCCAGATGCTCAGACGAGCAGTACACGGTACGTACAACTACCAGTAGAGCTACTGGCACCATGGCCATCCACAATTGGGGATCCTTTCATAAATTTTGCGGTATCGTGTAGTTCTAGCGGCCGGGCGAGGGGCACTTGGATGTTCCGCAGCATGTGTTGTGGCTACCGAGCTTGGCGGAGCTTACGTCCGATGAATTGGGGAGTGAGTGAATTGGGGGGGGGGGGGGGGGGGGTGGTGGCGGGTGGATTGGGGGAGCGAGACAATATTCAATAACTCGTGGTTGTTGTCAAAACGAACAAAAAGTAGCATTGATGGTCTAGCCATATCTACTACTCCCACCCCTGGATTGAACCCTGGACCTCCTGTAATCGAAGGCAAGGCACAACCTCTCGGTGTCCGTCCGGAAGGCGAGTGTTAACCGTTAGGCCACTCGCCCATGCGTGTTGGTGGCTCTAAATGACATTTGAGCGGAAGGCTACTGCAAGCGCCAAGGATAACAGATGATTGATTGATTGATAACAGGATAACAGGTGGGACGACGCTAAGATGTACCAGATGTCCTGTGGTGCACATGTTGTTGTGCCCGCAACGACCGCGTGCACCGGCACCGATTGCGCGGTGGTCTGGGTGGTTTCTTGGCAGAGTCTAATAGGGATTTCGGCATTGTCAAGAAAAGAGGCGGTCAGCGATTTTCCATTCGACTGGGAGAACGGGGGTCCGGCAGCTTTGATAGACATCCTTAGATATCGACTTTTGATGTTGAATTGAAAGCTAGGAAGATCTGAATTATACTATTTCAATCTGCAAGTACGTGTTACTGTCACAACCAGGTTTTTAAGGTCATGCCGGAACCTTCAACTTGTCATAACGTGGTTGGCAAAAGAGTTCACTTGCGCGAGAGATCGAGAGCTGGGCTCCTCCGTAAATAAAGTTATCCAACGGGCTTTTTTTTTTTTTTTTTTTTTTGTTATATCTACCCGCGGCTTGATCTATAGAGGTATTTATTATCTTTTCTAGACCAGATCCAGGCCATTCTCGGGGGTCCGATCGATCTCTGGTGGCAGCAGGGCTGGATCCAGATATACGATGAAAGGGCCGACTTGCGTAATATTTTTTTGTAAGCTTTATTTTGTTGGTGTAAAGCTATGGGTATTTTTATCTTCGACGCCACGCAGGGTCTGCTATCGTCCTGTAAACGTATACACCTGGAATGTTCGAATTCATCTAAACTATATAGTCTTCCTCATCGTCACCAGGAACGTTTTCTATTGGTTGCGTACTATTTCTAATATTGGTTGCATATCATTAGACAAAGAACTACTCCCGAGATGGAAGGGAACTGGCATTAAAAGGCGTGTAGCTATTGTAATTGATGGGTATATAAAGGAACAAAAACTGACAGAACTACAGCTATATTTTTTATATATCAAGGTCGAATCTCCCTGATAGCATATATTTTATCATGAACTACATGTATATACTAAAGCTACTCATTGAATGACTTAGAGTGCATACTAGAGCTAATAAATCACAGATTACCTATAAGGAGAGATGGAGATGAGGTTTAGTGCGTGCCTGTACGTTTGGATGACCCAATAATCCAGAATGACAGCAATAATCTAAGAAGTTACTATCGCAGTACCGCCCGCACCTTCATTTCCTCACTACATTTGGGCGGCCGGAGGCCGCACTCCGCTTGTAGAATATAGATTGGTTTAATTACCAATTCCATAATTGGCACAAAGCCAACAAGTCCCAAAACCAAACACACTCACCACCTATCACACACTCATCCAAATCCCTCAAGCCCCAAATCATCACACCCCAAAATCCCAACCTAAAACCCCCAACGTTAACCCCCACGCCCCTCATTCCAACTCCAAAATCATTGACCCTCTTGGCACACCCACCACTTCACACTCCCCACTTACCCGGCCGACCCACCCTACCATCCCACCCTACCATCCCACCCTACCATCCCATCACCCGCACACCACCTCCACTCCCGCCACCAACCAATCCAATCCAACCACCACCCACAATGCCGGTAACATACACCGAAAACCCCACAGACCCAGCGGTCACCGCCAAATTCAACAAGTAAACACCTCTCCCCCGTCCTCCGGAAGCTAGAAAAGAGCTAATTGGGGGGTGGGTGCAGTAAGGCGTCAAGCCAGTACTTCGACCCCTGCCAGGAGGCCGCCGACCGCTCGTTGAGGTGCCTGCATAGGAACCCGGGCGATAAGGATATGTGTACGGATTATTTCCAGTGCGTTTTTTTTCTCTCTTTCTTGTGCGTTCTGGGTTGGGGGGTTGTGGGGTGGTTGCTGCTAGGACGGCGCGGCGCTGCGACTATTTCTAGGAGCTGTGGCGGGCGGGCTGACTGACTGACTGGTGGGTGGATGTAGGGCGTATCGCGACTGTAAGAAGAAATGGGTAAGTTTTCACCTCTACCCACACCCAATCTGCCACACCCAACATCTACAGCAACTATTTACGGAATTGAACGCGGAGGAGAGGAAGAGAGAAAAAAGGGAGTGCTGACGCAACGGCGCGGCGACAGATTCAAGAGCGCAAGGAGGAGAAGCGGAGGAACTCGAAGATGACATTGTGGTAATTGGCGCTAGGGTACGGGGTGGTAGGTAGAAGGTGGTCATTGGGGTGGGTAGGTAGGAGGAGGTGGTTATATAGAACCTTTCGCCTTTACTTGCTGGCTTTGGTTTATAGACCAAAAAAAAGAAAGAAAGAAAGAAAGAAAGAAAGAAAGAAAAAAACTGGCACTGATGTAAAACCCTAGTCGGGTATGAGCTCCAGCTAGCTAGTCGGGCTGGCTGGTTCGGTTTTGATGGAGATTAAAGAACACTGATCAATAGAACTCTTCCTTGCTATGGTAGGGATTGTTTATATCTCTGCTTCGTTACTCGGTTTGTTACTCGGTTTGTTACTCGGTTTGTTACTCGGTTTGTTACTCGGTTTGTTACTCGGTTTGTTACTCGGTTTCCATCACTTGATTAAGCGCTATCACCTGCAGGTCTATCACTCGATTTTTCATCACGCTTCTATCTCGATTTCATCACTCGATCCCAGACAGACAAAAGCCATGTATGTATATTAAGAACTAAGCGGAGACAGACGCAAAACCCTCTAAACAAAACAAAAAGAAAAGAGAAAACAAAAAAAGAGTAGCCACAACCAGCTCATTACAGCCATCACCAGTCGCCCCATTTCATTTCTCAGAGTAGAGACCCAATTAATTACACCACCAGCCCATCCAGCCAGTCCTAATCCCAATCCTTATCCACCAACGCCAAACCCCAACCCTACCCGGTCATACCGCCGAGTGATCCCCCATGATCCACTAAACCACACACCTCCCCATCTCCCTCACCTCCACCCCCAACCTCACACCATGCAGCCACCCTCCGGCCCCAGGCCCAGCCACCTTCTCCTCCTTCACTTCCCCCGCCTCACCCACACTCTCACCCTTCGCACAAGCACCCTTCCCCCCCTTCCTGTCCATCGGCACCCACCGCACCACCCAGTCCCGCACGCACCGCCACCACCAGTTGCGCGCCATAAATGCGACACCCATCCACCACGCCTGCCGCCCAATGGCCTTGGAGCGCGGCAGCCGCTCGTGCACATATTCGCTGAGCGCGGCGCTGTAGGCGGGCTTGAGTTCGGGCGCGGTGGTGGGCGCGTTGTTGAGGAGGGCGTTGGCGAGGACGGTGGCGTCTTCGATGGACATGCAGGCGCCTGTGGGGGGTTAGTTTATGGGTGTGTATCATGGGGGGAGGAGAGAGGGGGGAGAGGTACCTTGCCCGCTGGTTGGAACCATGATGCGTGCGGCGTCGCCGATGAGGACTACGTTTCCAGCAGTATTCGAGATGTCTTTCTCGCCGTAGACCCGCTGCCATAGCGGCGCTCTCACGATGCGTTCGCTGTCCTTGAAGAAGGCCCCACACTCGCCGACGACAGGGAACCACAGGTTCTCATACCTTTTCAGTATCTCCTCGGTGGACTCGAGAGAGTACCCGCCCGTGTTCACAACGCCATACTCGCCCTCCACCTCCGTCACCGCCTTCCCCTCCGGCGGCGCAGCCTCCGGCACACTGACGGACCAGAACACCTTCCCGCCCGGCAACCCCCACGTCGCGACCCCGCCAACATCCAGCAGCACCGCATGCCCGCGCCCTACAACATCCTCCTCCCCCGCCTTCCCCTCTGGCAGCCGTGAAATGCCGTACACGGCCGACGCCCCCGCAAACGCCGGCTTCCAGTCCGCCCCGTCGCCGCCCATCAGCTGCTTCCGAATAGTAGACCATCCGCCGTCAGCGCCGACGAGCATGTGTCCTGCCCGCCGCGACCCGTCTTCGAGCACCACCTCGACGCCCTCGGGCGTCTGTTCGTAGCCTGTTACCTTGGCGTCCCACACCACCTCGCCGCCGTGGGCGATGACCTGCTCGATCAGCAGCCTGCTGAGCGTGCTGCGCTCGATTGCGCGCAGACCTGTATCCAGGTCTGGGGCGAAGGCGGGGTTTGTGATCCCGTTGAGACGCCGCCCTGGTGCCGTGGCGGGGGACTTTGAGCGCCACATGGTGACGGAGAGGGCCTCTTGGGAGTGGGTGAGGATTGCGGGCTGGAGGCCGAGCTGGAAGAGGGGGTGGAGGGCGTTGGGGGAGAGGATGACGGCGGCGCCGGTGGCGGTGGGGTTGGCGGGGAGGCGGTCGAAGAGGATGGGGGCGTAGAGGGTGTTGAGGAGGGGGTGGGTCAGGATTGTGAGGGAGAGGGTGGGGCCGGCGATGCCGGCGCCGGTGATGAGGAGGGTTTGCTTCTGGGTGGGGGTTGGGGAGGTGCTGGACATCATTTTCGATGCTTGATAGGTGTTTGTTTGATGGGAGGAGAGGGATTCAGAGAGGTCTCTGGATGTCTTTATGTTATGAGGAGGAGAGAGTGGAGTCCTGAAGATGGCGGCGATGACGGCGAGGATTGTCGTGACATCAACTGACCAGATTGACACAGCACAGACAGCTTCGTGAAACGTATGGCAGACTCAGGCATACGCAGCCACAGCCACAGCCAGACTCGGGAATACGCTGTCTTTTGTGCAGATGGCTGGCTGGCCACACAGACACCCGCTCGCGAACACTACAGCTGGATGAAATACGAACCCCGTCACAGCCCAGATAGGAAGTAAAATGGTGCATCATAGATCTTCCGGCCATTATGAGCCCGTTTAGAGGTTGTGGGTGGGTAGTCGGGTTAGATGTTCACCGCCAAACACACTCCAGCAGCACTCCAACAGTGAAGCCACAGCCCGCAGCAGACACGCCCCCTCTCAGCAGCATCATAGCAAAGCCGTAACACATCCGCAGACTCATCCCACGTCGTACGAAAAACAAACTCCACACCAAGCCACTAACTAGTGATAATTGGATACGAGCCCAAGCCAAGACCAACAGACAGCCAGCCAATCGATAAGCGTATCCACAAAAGCCACCGACCAGGCCGCCGACTAGGAGGGGTAATGATTTATCTGACAGGAAAAAGCTAGGAACGCCAAGACCGGGTTGAGGATAATCGAGGTGTCGACACCTAGCGTCGTTCTTTGTCGGCTTGTTTTGTGTCCCGGATAGAACTTGGGGCGGGGTTCTGGCTGTCCCTGGCCCTGGATGGTGACGATAGGTGGCTTGTATTGTAGTTGTTAGTCTGGGAAGAGCGAGAGTTCTCTTCTTCTCCTCATCCTCCTTCTCATCATCATCATCATCATCATCATCATCATCAATATAAGCGAGTAGCTCTTCGCTACACTCCGTCTTCTTGAATCATTCTGTCTACCTCGGTGGTATCTTGATATCCCATCCTCGCCTTTCAATTCTACACGCAAGAAGGCCCCCGCTTCAATAGCTAGCTAGATACTAAAGTTTCGAGGCCCGCAAACGGAATTGGAACTTGGCGTTTGCCCAGAGATCTGTGACAAGCTTAGTTCAGTCAAGCACCAGACCTCAACTTCTAGTACGAGAGTTATTGGAATATACCAGCTATGTCCGGTTGTGCAATGCAACTAATTAAACAATACCTACAGGATATCTACCCCCCGAGAAAGGAAAAATGCAGTTAAATCCCATCTGCAAACCCGCAGTTCTAGAGAACAGGAAAGAAAGAAAAAAAAGAAAAATCTAGAAACAAGTATAAAAAAGACAAGTGGAGAAACAGCCATTCCAAACACCAAAGCAAACCCTAGCAAAAAGAAACAAGAAAACAGAAAAGAAAAGAAAAGAACAAGAAACGCACTATGCCATCACCTAACTCCTCCTCAACGCCTCCCATAACCCACCCCACGCCAGCCCCGCCTCGCCCGCTCTCCTCCTCCTCTCCACCTCTTTATAAAACTCCACCCTAATCCTCACAGCCCTCTCCTTCTTCCCCTCCTTCTCCCCCTTCCCCTTCGCCAACACCCTCCCCCACAGGCCCCTCTTCTCCCGTCCCCCCTCCTCCTCCGGATCCAGCCCCTCACTAACCGCCGCCTCGCAGAACCAGCAACAACACTTCCCATACAGCCCGCCAAACGCCTTCGCAAACGCCTCCCCCGTAAACGAAAACGCCGTATCCAGCGTCCCCGTCCCAATCTTATCATCATGGTCAATAAACCGCCCCGCCATCGCTCTACACCACGCGCGGTACCCCACAGGCGTCAACATGGCGCTGTGCCACACCAAGTCCACATCCAGCGTCGGCACCAGAATCTTCCCCGGGTGCATCTTGAACAGCGCAAAGAAGCCCTCATAGCGCTCCACCGCGCGCTTCAAGAAGCCAGCGTCGCTGTCGATGATGACGCAGGAGCGCGTGGCGCCCAGTTTTGCGCGCGCGCTGGAGAGCGAGTCGAGCGGGAGGCGGCCGACGAGCCCCGGCGAGCGGATCCACAGCTTGTCGTTCATCTTGGCGACGAAGCTGAATTGGCGGATGACGGCGCCGTTGAGGTTGAGGGAGAACTTTCGCGGGGTTGCGGAGAAGGCGGAGAGGACGAGGGTGAGTGCGGCGAGGTTTTCGGCGGGGTTTTCGGCGGGGATGTTGGCGTGGAGGCGGTCGGAGATGGTGCTGAAGGTGTCGGAGTGTGTCAAGGTGACGCCGGCAAATGTCCGCCGGAAGAGGTCGTTGACGAAGTTCATGGGCTCCCATGTCGGGCTGTTGGGGTCTTCGGCGTAGGAGCGCCCTTGTCTGTCCAGGTTCGTCATGCGCATTCTCGCCTCGGGACCGGCCTTCAGGAACTCTTCGATCTCGAGCCTGAGCTTCTCAGAGCATAGTCCCTCTTTATCGATGACGTTTCCGCACTCTGCGCAGTCCGTCTTGAAGTCTACGTCCATCCACCCGCCGCCCTTCTTCTCAGAGTCACAGATCCTCACTGGTGCTCCGACTTTCCCGCACGCCGGGCACTTGATGCTTTTCCGGGGCGCAATGTCCTTCCACAGGAGCTCGTCCATAAGGCGTGGCGACTGGTTGGTCAGGCGCTCGAAGAAGCGTGCGGCCGAGTCTGGCAGCGTGTAGGTGAAGGTCTCGTTATTGATTGCGGCGTGGATGTGGGCCCAGGGAAAGGCGGTGTTGTGGATTAGGTGCAGGCCGTAGTGGAGGGCGTCCTCATTGTAGCAGCGTGGGTTGAGCATGTATGCGTGCCAGACCATCAGGACATCTAAAATTGGTTGTTAGTTTTTATGATATCACGAAGGTCAATGATCGCGAGCATGAAAACTTACCAAGTGGAGGAAGCAGGTCTTCTGGCAGCTCTCTAAGATGGACGTTTTCTACGGCCTCTGTTATGCCGCTCTTGACGCTCTGTGCCTTCTCCTTCTCCCTCTCGCTCTTCGAAAGCGCCGATGCGCTCCTTAGGCTCTGCAGGCTCTCCCTGCCTGCCAGCCTACTCGGCGACATTGTCTTTTTCCTCTCCAACAGCCCAAGCCCCCCCGTCGGGGGCGAATTCTTAGGACTTGGCGTCGTCCTCTTGCACTCGCCATTACCCCCCCACGCAGTATTACCATTCTTCAGAATCGCCAATCCACCACTCCTGATGCTCCCAGCCCTGCCCGGACTACCATCACTACATGTCCCCTCTCTCCTCCTCAACTCGTCCTCCACGCCCCACCACCACGTCCCAAACCGCCCCACGGCCACCTCGACAAACGCGCTCCACCACGTCTCGCGCTCCTCGTCGACCGTGCCGAAGATCTCAATGAACGCCGCCTCCTTGACGACCCGGTGCTTGAGCTTGCTGATTGCCTGCAGCAGCTCCAGGTGCACGGCGCACTGCGAGACGGACGGCGGCGGCGGCGGCGGCGGCGGCGCGTGGGCGCCGACTAGTGCGGTGGTGTCGAGAGGCGTGATTGTGAAGACGGCGGGATCGGGGATCACGGGCTCGTCGGATTTGGAGGTGGAGGTGGGGAAACTGGGTGGTGTTGTGCGCAGCATGGGCGGGGTGGTGTGTTTGAGGATTGTGGTGAGGAGGGAGGACATTTATTCTGTGTGTAATGTGTATGTGTATATTGTATCCCTTTTTTGTGGGATATGGTTTTTGTTTTGATTTGATTTTGTTTTGTGGGAGTGGGCTGGGGAGTGGTGGGGGTTTTTGGGGGGGGGGGGGGGGGGGGGGGGGGATATTTATCGAGCTGGGGTACGGGTGGTGATTTGGGATACGGTACGGTACGGTATATATATAGTGACTGCACTGCACTGACGGATGGTATGATTGATCTACAGGGCTGGCGAGAATGGGAATGAGGATTACCACGGTAGGCAGGCAGGCACAACGGGGGTGACTAACTTATACTCTACCTATTCGATATTTAAAGATCGCGGGGTCTGCCTTGCGACCAGTGAGTTGAGTGTGTGTGTGTGTGAGTGCGCAGCGAGGCGAAGCCCTTGCGGCTCTAGAGCTCTCTGTGTAACGTCTGCCCCGTATGTGGAGTAGAGCTACACAACACAACTGGTGGCTACACAGACCACTGCCTACCAAACGGGGTTTCGCCTGGCGATCGGGGAGGTGATGGACCCTGTGATGTCATATGGGCCAATGAAATCCCTTCGTCTGTTCCCGGTAATCACAACATATTAGGCCCACGACGGCGCCGTGATGGCCACAATTTTAACGAAAAAGCAGTATACTCAACTACCTTTTAGAGCAATTTTGCGTGACAAGTGGGTCAATCTTGCACGTTTGCAGTTAGCCTCTACTATTTGTATGGTGAGCCACCAATCGCCACATGTCGTGAAAACGCACGAAGGGATAGGCGAGCTGTGCGCGCCTTACGAGTGGTTGCTTTATTAAAGATGGATAGTTAGCTACGCACGTGTAGTAGAGTAGAGGGGGGGGGGGGTTGGATAGTGGTAGTAGGTAGTGCGGAGTATTGGAGGAGGAGGAGGAGGAGGAGGAGGAGGAGGAGGAGGAGGAGGAGGAGGAGGTACTTGTGGGGAGTATGTATGTACATGTAGTTACTTGTGGGGAGTACTTGTGGGATATAGGTACATGTACTTTGTTATTGTACTCTACAATTGCCCGCTGTCAGATCATGCTTCACGCCTCAAATACACGCCCCAAAATACACACTCACCTTCGATCACCTAGAGCAGAGCTTGTTGACAACCACCTCAACCAACATGAACCACCTCGACATCCTCAACAACAACAACAACAACAACAACTCCAACCTCAACAACCTCAACCTCAACCGTGGCATGCCACACACACTCCACTCCACCCCGCCTACCTATCAGACCAAAATACATACTATCTACTAGCAGTGCGATTAGTTTTAAGAAAAAAAAAAACCTCCGACAGGCATGCTGACACATGGCAGCCCGTTGGTTTTTCCTTGGTTCTTAGTTTAGGACGAGTGATATCTCATGATCTCAAACGCCATCAACGATCAAGAAGAGTTCCCCCGGCCAAAATACAAAAGCATATCCTTCACATCAAAGTTGCGGTGTTGTTCCTTGGATATAAAACCGTGTACACAAATTATGTAACTACATGTACGTAGGGATAGAAGCTGTGATAAAGAGATCCAGAACAAAGGCTCAGGAAGGGGTGGTGATATATCACTGCTGTTATTTCCTTGTCGGACCCTTAGAAACAACTAGCTGTAGGCCGTGATAGTTAGGAGTCGTCTAGCTAGTCGTGGGCGAATATACCTGGCGTATATCTGGGGATATCGCCGCCATAACTACCATACCCGTTTACTGCTCTCTGCTCTCTGCTCTCTACATTACTAGGTTTTATTTGCGATATCTGTAAATACGAAAAATATCGACACACCAACTAACTAACTCTAGGCAGGGCAGGGCAGGGCGGGGCGGGGAAGAGGTAGTGGGCAGGGGGTAAAAAAAAAAGGAGAGAGAAAAAAAAATACGTTGCCTCCAATCTACCGCGAGATACCAGCCATTCTCGACGGAAGAAGAAAAGAAAGATAAAATATGATGCTAAGAGATGGAATAAACGGGGTGATATAGTGTGAGAGAGAACAAAAACTATAGGTGTGACGATGGCGGCAAGGACGAGGGATAGATCAAGACAATGTCTGGCTAATCCTACAAACGGGAGATAAGGTAAAAAAAAAAAAAAAAGATAAAAAACCAAAGCAAGCCCAACCAACCCCGCCCCAGAAAACCCCCAAACCCAACCAAGCCAGTCCCCCCTCCCCAAAACAGAAAACGGTCATCGCAAGAGGAGAGAAAAAAAAGTACTTAAAAACCCCTGGAAGCTTCCGTTTTTTTATTCATTCGCTAACAAGAAGAATCTAGTCATCCATTACTTCAACCATCACCGTTCCCATCCTCAAACCAGCCTCGTCAACGCTTTGGTCCAAGTGATCAATCAACTTCTTGCCCAATATGACAAGATCAAACTCCTTGGCTTTAGTCGATCGCTCCTCGACTGGCTTCTTGGCCTCCTGCTCAGGCAGCATGTCCGCCTTGACGTACTCAAACAGCCTCTCGACGCGGTCCTTGAGGAGGAATCTTCGCACAACACGGGTTCCATCGTGCATCTTGAACTGGATCCTTGTAGTCTCTGGTCCTGGGGGTGGCTCCGCATGGTGCTGATCTGCACGAATCTGATCAAACACCGAGGGCTCCTCGGCGACCCCCTTTCCTTTATCATTTGAACTCCCGATTTCGATCAAATCATCGTCGTCATCATGCTTTGTGAGTGTGTCCGGGTCGGCATCTATGCTGGCGCCTGCGCCAAGAGAGTTCTCCATGGCGAGCTGCATCATCTCTTCTTCCGTCATGTGTTCGACATTAGCTTTGGGTTTACTGGTGCGCTGTACGGGATTCTTCGCATCCACCCTCAGAGAGTATCGTTCAAGAAACTCGTGTAGCTGCATCACAAATTCCATCGGCTCCTTTGGGGTCGCATTCCAAACCTTGACCTGCTCTCCTGTCCGGGGATCAATAATAGCAATGTGTGGGAATAGGTCGGCGATTGTTGGGTCGAACCGCGCTGATGGGTCTGCAGCCTTCTGAAGGTAGTATCTGATGTAGTCCCTTCCATCCATGCCATGTCGGTCCATTTGCAGGAACAAAAAGTTCTCCTTAACAGTGGCCATGACCTCTGGATGTTTCCAAATATCACGATTTAAGGTCTGGCAGGCAAAGAGCGAATTATCCTGGAGATTTACTAGAATCCACTTCTCTGCTTCTCTAGCTTCTGACCTGGCGTCCTCTAGGGACATCATCGAGATTATTTCGAACGGAGGCCTGTACATTTCTGCCAATTTGGTTGATTTTGCTGATGCTTCTGATGCGCCACCTGTAGACTCTGCGATTAATCTGGCGCGGTCGGCAGCGCTTTCATCCCAAACGCTAGTACTGTGCTGGTTGAAGATTGAACGCCCTGGACCTACTATATGGGTTAGAACTCATCTCAAAGCACTTCCTAATAGGAATCTTCGTAAGAGAATTATCAGAAAAGCATACCTCCTCTCCGTGCGCTAGCCCGCCGCCTTGGATCAGAGTAATAATCATCCTCATCAACCAGAGTCTCCACTGTCCTTGCCATCGGTGCTCTAACACCGTTACTTTCACCTGACCCACCCTCATAAAACTCCTGCTGTAGCTGCCTTGCCAGGGCCTCATCATCGTAGGCGGCACTTCCTGCTGCAGTACCCCCGTTTGTAGGGTCAGAAGAGCCCCCGCCACTCGCTACCAAAGCTTCTCTCATATCATCGTCTACATCGTCGTCGATCTCGATCAGCTCATCGCCAGCTCCGGTGACGGGCCGCGCAGGAAGCGGGGGTGCAGTAGGTGTAGAAGAGCTAGGAGGAATATCCATGTCGACACCTCCGGTCTCAAAGTAAAGCTGTATAGCTTGCTCAAGATTCATGTCTGAGACACGGAGATATGTCTCCGCCTTTCGTTTAGGAGCATCAGTAATTGCTGAGAACTGGGTTACTAGAGCTTCGTCTATCTCCATTTTGGCAGTTTGTGATTATGTGCGTGATGGAGCTGGACGAGCGGTCGGTGTAAAAGAAAGACGGGTGTAGAAGCTGTGAGATATCAGTGGATGAAATATTTCGAAAAAAGGAAAGCAAATGTGGCGAAAAAGAAGATAGGATGTGGGGCTGGTGAGGGGCAACACTTACTAACTCGGATCCTTGCTTTGTTGAGGTCCAACTCTGGATAACAGGTTGGTAGAAGAGCTGGTGGACGTTACGACTGTGGATCAAGTTGATAGACCCAAGGGGGGGATGGGGAGATGTTTCGGGGAGATGAATGGACAAATGCTTGGAAGGCAAAGTGATGGAAGAGAGAGAAGAAAGTTTGGTGTTCTTGCTGTTGCACACAGGTCGTCACCGTGCCAAGCATTCCTTACGTACACTTGCAGAGAAGCTTTCTGTGAAGGGAAGGGAAGGCGAATAGGCCGGAAGCGGTACGTACTTTCTGAGATAACAAGAAAACAAGTGGAGATTTTGTTTCTGGGTTTGTGAAGGCTGTTTCTCATTTATAAACACTTTGACCACTTGGCCAATGCACTCAGAATGTTAAAACCACAACTTGCTTTGCTATCAGGACATCAACAGTGTACCTATGTACAACAAACAAGTAACCATGTGATTAATAATTTTAGTCTCTAATGTACACCCATTAGCTAATTGTAATTGTTACACAACCGTTTGATTTTTCCGATATTGCAGCTGTGCAGTGCGGCCGTTCATTCACTTTGCTTCTACCATCCATAAGCCTTGCATGACTATCAGCTATTCCCCCTCTCCGCTGTTATAACATTCTTAGCAATTAATGCATGTAGGCACAACATGTACCTACATGTACATGGTACTAGATGTAATGTATGTAAATAAAACAGAACGCATCTAAGCTTTTTCCTAGCAAGAAAATGACGCCGGTTGTACAACTACAGTAATTATCCCAGGGCTCCTCTTCGTTTTATGCACCCCAAACATTTTTACCCACAGCGCCGATTTCAAAGAAAGTATTGAAAGATAACTATCATCTTTAAGCCTTTACGTCATGCCTTAATCATGAAAATCTATTTCCAGGTCACAAAATCAGTCAACCCGGGATAAAGCCAAACGATTTATAACAGAAGGGATAGGATATCAAAAATCCACAAACCTCATTCAGTGCCTTAGCATCCATTACGGCACTTCTCTTCGCCGCAATGAACCGATGTCTCACTGCTTGCCGCCCTACCAGGGCTGAATACCCGGATGGAGTTGCAGTTCCAGACGCCGCCGGGGTAGACTCATCCTCTGATGAATCTGAGTCCGAAGACGAAGATTTCGATTTTTTTTTCTTCTTGTCTTTCTTCTCGGCTCTTCTAGCTTCTCTTGCTTTCTTCTCTTTAGTTCTTCTCTCTTTCCTCTGTTCGTGTGTTTCGCCGTTTTTAGACTTTTTGGAAACCCTGTCCTTCTTGTCCTTGTTTTTCTCGGTGGAATCCTCATCTGTCCGTTTCCGCTTCTTTGACTTAGAGTCCGAGTCGTCCCCAGGCACCGGTGTAGCTGATTCGGACTTTGAAGATGATTTCTCGCGTTTGGTCTTTTCTTTTTTCTCTTTTTTGATACGGACCGAAGAGCTTTCATCTGAAGGTGTAATTGGGATCGCGGCCATTTCGGGTTCGCTCTCAGACTCTTCCTTTTTGACTTTGGTTTCCTTCTTGACCTTGGCTTCTTTCTTGCTCTTCCTCTTCTTCTCCCCCAACTCTTCTTCTTCTTTGACTTCTACCTTCACTTTCACTTCTGCCTCTTTCTCTCCTTCGAGCTTAATCTTTTTTAGTAAGGTATCGATGTCGCTACTGACGTATGTCTCGCCCCTAACGAATCTCATTCCATATCGTTCACCCACAATGACATCCCGCCTTAATTTGTCCCGGGTCTCAGCCTCTTTCTCTAGCTCATCGTTGCCTTTTCCGTTCAGTCGCCCCAGCAAGCTCTGAAGTCCGTCGAGGCCTACACACTCATCCTCACGTTGCCTCTTGTTGCATCCGATCCCAAGGTTGTCATCCTTAAGGACAATCTTTACACCGGCCGCGGATGCAGCAGTAATGTGACCGGATTGATGGTATAGCGACGAGGTATCACCAAGAGTACTTCCAGGCTGCCAACCGAGCGTGGTAAGAATTCGATGACCGAAGCGATCAGTATTGTTGGACCAATTGGTGTTTCGGGGATCGGCTCCGATTTTTGTACGGCTGGAATAGTGTAAGTGAGCTTGTCTTTACACCAAGCTTATTCGCCGCCCCACTGTTGTGTTATAGCGGGAATGAGATAAGGAAACATAGGGAACATACTTTCTAGGCCCAGCAAGACCCATCGCGACTCACTTGAGAATAAAGAGCGGTGAAAACAAAAAGGATGTGAAAAATGCGACCTGGGAGGAGTAAGCGGGTCTCGATTTTTTTTCCCTTGCGGTTCAATATTGAAACAACGCTAAGGGCTAGGGTACTACAAATGGATCTCTTGGCAGTATCTTAGCAACGAGTGTTTGGAGCTTTAGCTCTGTGGGGAGCTACATAATAGTAAATATTCGATCGATCGAGTAAGAGAAAGGGTTTCTCGTGCAATACTTGGACCACCCTCCAGTTAGTCGTTACAATAGTACATTCTTGATCCTAATAGTGAAATTAATACTCTATCAATACTCCAAATCCACCTCTTAAGATCTTGCTGTGTACCTCATGTGTTGATCACGCACGCATTGCACATAAACATGAGTATTGCAGATTCTCGAAAGATATCTACACAATAAATGGTACTAGTACTAAATGAAGTGTTCTTTTATTGAAATTGGATACCTCCATCGAGCCGCAAGTAATAATTCATACTCTACGGGACCTAGACCGATTGGATCCCTAGATTACAAGAAATTAATACCTACTCTATGTGTAATTGCATCAATGCAGCCCGGAACAGAGTACCACTCCAAGTCTTAGGAAGGCAGCGGAGATTCAATATTGGGGACTGGTTTAAGCCGACCGACCAATACCGATAAACACTGTTGCCTGCATGCCATAATGATACGGCTCAAAACAGCTGATGCTAAGGCGTGTGGTTCAGCCGGGAATGTGTTAAATGATGGGTCGCCATCACATTGAGCTCATCGATAGGATAGCGCATTTAAGTGGATAGCAGCATTAAACGTACAGAGTTCTCTTTTCCCATTTTCAGCTAACTAGTTAAAGGGGATGTTCAGCCCCAGTAAAACCGCCCAGGCATGTGATTTTGCGAGGCCGAATACCAGACACAAGTCGGACCTCGAGTCATGTTCAATCAATTGATCAATCTTTACAATGCATATTAAGATAACTCTTATCATAGGCGTCTCTAGATTGAATTATTATGATACTTATATAATCCGTACCTACCTGGCCGCGTAGGCCTTGCTGCCGGATTTTTTCAGGGATTCCCCCACCATGTCTCACTTCCGTTGATTATGTCTCGTGTCTTCAAGCCGTTTGGCTCGCTACAGTGGCTATTGTGCTGTTACCCGGGCTTTTCGCAGTCAGCACAGCACTACCCCCCCAGCAACCTCCCGTTTCAGAATGCGGAACTTTATTTTGTTGACGAGGACACAGACGCAGAACGACCCCTCTCTCTTTCCATGTAACCTCCAGCTTTTGGTGCCTAGCTCACACTCCCCTGCATTGATTCACACGCGAGCTCTAGGAAGAAGAAAGAAAATTAATCCTCAGAATAAATTAGACTGGTGTTTATCTTTGTTTCTTTCTTTCTTTCCCTGCTCTCATTGTACCGGATAACCGATAGCAAGGGGGTCCCCCCATCACTACAGATATCTTCCTCCCTCTCAACTCCCACCAGAAAGAACGAAGATTTGCCAACTCTTCTCCCTTTCATTTCATTGGCGGACTTCCAGAAAGCACAAACATAACCATGCAGCGGTACAATACGCAAAGTAATAGAGACAGCGGCTCCTCGGGCGAGGGCTATATTGCAAGTAATGAGCTTGTTGATCCGGAATCGCTCTATACAAAACAAAACCAGATCGGTAAGTTCCATCGCCCACCTTGATGCTCTTGTAACTGCTCGCTGATGGCCGTGGTTAGGGGGAGGCAGCTTCGGCAAAGTCTACAAGGGGTAAATACAGCTCCAATCCATTAGTCGCTACCACATGGCGAAGGTGTTGGGAAAACATGCGTCTGTGTGTCTGTGTGTGTTTAAGGTAGCAAGAGAGCTTACGTTTTGAGGATATGTGGGTTGGTTTGAGATAGGGTCGATAAGCGAACTGGTCAGGCCGTAGCCATCAAGGTCATCGATGTCGAAAACGCGGAAGACGAGGTCGACGACATCATCCAAGAAATCAATATCCTCTCCGAACTTCATTCGCCATTCGTCACAAAGTACTACGGTTCGTATCTGAAGGGCTCGGATCTATGGATCATCATGGAATATTGTTCTGGTGGTAGTTGCGGAGACTTGATGAAGCCTGGCGTCATTGCGGAGGAGTACATTACCATTATAATTCGAGAGTTATTGATGGGGTTGGAATACCTACATAGTGATAACAAGCTTCACAGGGACATTAAAGGTATGCCAATTCTTGCTCTCTTTGGTATAGTCGCAATTTTACGCTAACCGCGAATCCCCCCAACATAGCTGCAAATGTCCTTTTAGGGTCAAACGGTCAGGTTAAACTCGCAGATTTCGGTGTTTCTGGACAGCTTACAGCTACAATGACAAAGAAGAACACCTTTGTTGGAACACCATTTTGGATGGCCCCGGAAGTTATCAAGCAGTCCGGCTACGACCAGAAGGCTGATATTTGGTCATTGGGCATCACCGCCATAGAGCTTGCCCTTGGAGAACCTCCATATTCAGACATCCACCCAATGAAGGTGCTTTTTCTGATTCCCAAAAACACCCCCCCAACATTGGAAGGAAATTTCACAGAAAGATTCAAAGAGTTTGTGTCAATGTGTCTACAAAGAGATCCAAGGGATCGTCCAACAGCAAAGGAGCTCTTGAAACACCCATTCGTAAAAAGGGCGAAGAAGACCACGTATTTGACCGAATTGATTGAGCGTCATGAACGTTGGGTTATTGAGAATGGGAACAAGAAAGGGCATGATGATGATACCAATTCCAATGCCTCAGACACTATGGATAGTAGAGTCACAGATGACTCAGATGCGGAAAGCGATTTATGGGACTTCGGAACCATCAGACCTATGGGTGGCGGAAGAAATGGGGATGGCGGTGCGGGTTTAAAGAGTTTATCTGCGGCCGAGGCAAACATGCGGTACGTTGCAAACAGCATTGATCAAGATTTTGTCGATGGATCAAAAATTGGGCGAATCGTACAGTCACCTCAGATTCCCCGACAAGTTCCACCTGTTCCTACCTATAACACCAGGAACCCATCACCAACGAGGGATATCCCACCTGCTGCACCGCCTCATGCTTCTGGGAGAGACTCGGGGTATGCTTCTTCTGGTACAGTGAGGGGGCTAGGCAAACCTCCTCCATATAAAGTAAATACCCCTCCAAGGGAGCCACTTTCGCAGCAGAAAACTTCCAGTTCCCCCGGATACCAGCAAGCATACCAACAGCAACATATACAGCCGCAGCCGCAGCCGCAGCCGCAGCCCAATTTATCTGGAAGATCAAAGTTTGACCAAATCCAAAGTCCTAGTAACCACCGGAAAGTAAGTAGCTCATCCGAGCACGACAGAAACTTTCAACAAGAACTTGCCCAGGACATGGGTTGGATGAAATTGGCAAACTCAGGACCCATGGGCCCAAGGGATAGAGATATCACTCCAAGAGGGCCCCCGGCACCAGTAAAGAGTCTAGTTGGAGACAGTAGAATTGAAGTAGAACTGAAATCCGGTCTTTCAACACCAGGCAGTGCCTTTGGTGAACCTAGACCTGCATTCTCCCACGCTCAAATGTCTAGACAAAATTCCAATGAGATTGTCTCAGAACAGATGAGGCGGCAGCAACAGCAGCACCAAATGGCTCTTAAATCACCCCCAATGGTGCCACCACCAGGACTTCACCATCCACGAAGTACACAGCAGTTACAGCCAGGGCCCCCATTGCCGCCGTCCCATGGTCATTCCAGTAGCATTAGTAGTAATCATCATCACCAGCTCCCACAACTCCCATTACAGCACCCCACACAACATCCATCACAGCAAGACCTACGACGGATATCGCAAGTGCAAATGCAGCCTCCACAGCCGCAACCACCGCAACCACAACCACAAGTTAAAACTACAACACCCGAACCGCCAGAACTCACTGCTCTTGATGGTGTTATTCTTCCGGCGCTTGAAGCCGCACTGCAACGAAGAACCTATCATCTCCAAATGGCTATCCGTAAGGCGCAGCAATCATCATCGCCCAGTGCGCAGCAGAAAGTCCAAGAAACAGCGAAAGCTCATGATCGTCTAAAGAAGCAAGTTTATAAAGCGGCAAGCCTATTTAGGGATATCGAACAGGCAGATAATAATCATTCAGTGGGCATGGGTGGCGAAGTTAATGGGTTTTTAGAGGGATTTCTCGAGGAGGTGCTAGTTAGGGTAGAGGCGGAAGATGACGATGGCATGGGAAGTCCAGAACAGTTACGCCAAAGAAGGAGAGAAGATGAGGGCCAGGGACAACGATGGTAACCTGGGTAATTGTTTTTGATACACAACAAGTGATGGGTAAGATTATTATTTAACAAGGCTGTTCTTACCTAACTTTTATGGGTCCCATCCATGGGCGGGAAGTCAATGTTCTTTTCTTTATTTTTCTCTTGCATTGAGCGTACTGTGGATGTTGAACGAGAGTAGGATAGGGTTATACCAGGGAGACCTTCTAGGTTATTATTATAAATTGCTTGAGACCCCCTGCATGTCTTTATGGTTCTGTGTATCGTCCAATCCGTATTCTCCTGTTTTCTCTTTGTCTACATTCCCGTACATTGTTCTATACCAGGATGAGTGATGTTTCATGACGGAAGGAATAAATAACGATTTAGAGGATTGTAAACAATCCCCACGAACTAGTGAACCTTTTAGTTGCAATACAGATATGGGAGATCGTTGAGGCCTCGTGTGCTAAAAAGAATACCAAGAATCAAGAACCCGGCATCAATATGTACTTTTCAAAAGTTCATATTAAGCAGGGCTTTTATGCTGTGCTAAAAAGGATAAGAGACCTGTTTAGTGAGGTAATTGCCATTATTTCTAAGCCTTTATATTTATATGTAGTGCCGTGCCAATATTATAACCTGATCTCACCTGTTTTAATAGGTTACATAAATTATATGAAGGGAAAACCGCATGTACCCAAATTTCTTGCATCACGACATCTTCACTTTTCTCTCCACAGCAACGGTTCTCAAACTTCACTGCAGTTACTTATGTAAGGTGAGCTTTCTGTAGAATATATCGTACTCAAATTAAAAACAATAGGCTCGCGGTGTCAATAAATACAATTCTCTCTCCCTACCCTTTATATTTACTATGTTACTCTACACAAGAAAGAACAGCCCTCAAGGGAAATACCAGAAAAATTAAGTCAAAATTATATGAAAGATAATACATGATAAGTCCTACTCGACTCAGTATCGGTGGGACGAGCAGTACAAAACAGCTTGAATCAGTCAGTCGGAGGACTATAGACGATCAACGCACCCCATGGGTACTCCACCCGTCCACCCACTTGATCTGGATAATTTTCCAGATCACACTTCCCTATCTCCCTGACCACCGTGACCACATCCGCGCACCGGACTCTTATCTTATAAGGCCCGCACATGCCAATCACCGAGCTACCATACGTGGCAAGCTTTACACAGGCCTCCGTGGCCCCTTCTCGCACCCTGGTTGTCTGGACGCATTTAGTACTATTGATAAGTAAGCTTTCTGTCATCTTGACATCCTCCCGCAGCGGGGAGAACATCGAGGTTTCGCAGTGGAGGACTGTGGTAGGCACCGTGGAGTTTGTTCCGGCTGATCGACGCGTATAGTGACGAAGGCTTTGGTTAGATATAGGCTGGAGTTTGTCGGTGGGGTATCCGTTGAGAAGACAACCGAATAAGAAGAGGGAGGCGACGACGGCCAGTAGGCAGAGATTCATTTTATTCTCGAAACTAGGGAACTAGACGTAGTGTTGGGTGCAAATACTGCTTGTTGTAGGAGTAGTAAGCTTAGATAACTAATTTTGGGAACAGTGGTGGAAACAATACTGGTAACAATACTGGTTAGCACTTGGGTGGTTAAAATGAAGATAAAGTTTATCCAAGGTGAGGTTCGATCGATTCCTAGTTATAAATACCAAGGCTCTGTTTAGTTGCGGCATTGAATCTTTCGTATCTCCTTGCGCCCATATTAACGTCGAAAATTATCTAGAGCACATATTATATTAGACATGACTAAAATTCTATCGAAATCTTGAACCATTAGTCAGCAGGGTTTTCGCTTTATAGTCTTGCATAAAACCAAGACTACGGAATGTTGTAACTTCTCAAAGACTCGGGACTTATAAATCAAAATTTGAATCTCAATACAAGTGTTAACGAAACAGATGTATGTTTATAGGCTAGGGTTTGCATGGGAACTACCAACAAAACTAGAGGAAGCTACTATTAAATATCGCACAACCTGCAGTACTAAATGCTAGCAGCTTTAACTAAATTTATGTCCCACTTGCGTCATTTGATCATGTAATCAACCTCAATCTCCAAAAATCACTCGTGCTATATATCCAGCCTAGAACTTACCCCCCTCAACGTCTGGGTACTTTACATCCATAGTAAGTCTGATCCCCCGCTCCCCGCTCCTTTGCCAACAAACACACCGCCCTCCTTCCGATCTCCTGTGACTCCACTCTCACAACACCGCACAACGATCCGTTTTGAAATACTTTTCCTGATATAGCGCGAATACACTCTACATGGAAATGATTGGGCGACCCATTTTTAGCCAATCGGAGTCCTTCTACTACTCTCCAAGTTCACATTTTCCTACAATTAATTGCTGTAGGTACTCTACTTTGAATTATCCATCCCTCTAACCATTCATCATCGTCATCACATCAGTCGATCGGTCCCCCACTTCGGACGAATATCAGTCCCCCACTTCGGACGAATATCAGTCGTCAATCAGCCCAGAGTTACCCCCCCATCCCACCTCGATCTGATGTTCAACAGCTGTCCGTCAGAGGACCAGTGAAGAATGCCTATTGGTCAGTCATGAGAATAAAGTCAGCTGGAGTGAGACTCTATTGTTTCTAATAATAAACATGTCGAGGACAGAAACCACGACCACAAGGCAAGTGGCCTAGGGTTAGCTGTCTTTTTTTTGGGCTTCATACACCATACTGATCGCTCCAGAGTCTACCCTATAACATTGGGACTCGGGTTTTCAAATGATACCTTATCCTCGCCCAAAAGGCTGCGACCCTTCCTCGGCATCGGATGGTTGTCACGCCCCCCACTGCGACCCTGACGGACCGAGATAGTCCCACATACTACCGAAACAAACTAGATCATCCCGACCCACAGGTCCTGACCCTGGACCCTGCCTTGAATCTTCCGACCCCACCAAAATAAAACTTGTTTAGTGTTGGGCCCAAACTTGACAGCCACGTTCACGGTCCACCGAACCCTCGGAATCCGTGCCGATGGCGTTACTGTAAAAAATAAGGTCTCCCACTAACCCGGGCAGCAACCAGCCGGGGAAGGTCGGCGTTATGAAAGTGGATTTCTTATCATTGAAGAAAATCGACGTGTCTGCCGCTGCGATCTACATACCCCAAGGAAAGAGAAAAAAAGTGAGAGAATCAGAGTAGCCTCCCATAGAACACGCAGCTAGCGAAAACTCAATTTTCCTCCGAACCGTGGATAGGGCTAGACTAGCCAGCTGCTAAAAATCCCAGCTGTCACAAAAACCGCAAACTGCCCCTCCGACCCTATCGAATTCCCCATCACGAAAAAAAAGAGGATGTCGATAGAAAGAGGAGAAATTAGGCGAGTCCATGCTGCAACCCTGAGGATAGGTACCTCTATGCCCCGCGCCATCGGTAAAACGAAAACTTTGGGATTAGATCCAACCGGGTTACTCGATCATTTCCACCCCTCGATGCAAGGTAAGTCCGACCCCGTATCTGCATACTATGCCAAGAGTAGGCAAATCTCTGATGGACGTCCAGTCCCCGCCTAAGGCTGGTTCAGCCTCTGACAACTCAAAAGATGGGTATTATCTCTTCCGCATAAGGCAATGCATGCCAAATATTATTACACATACATTTGTCGGAGGACAGCGCTGCGAGGACCCACCGAGTGACATTTCATGAGCTCTCCCACTTTTCCAGATCACGTGCTCGAAACTTATCTTTTGAGAGAAAGATAACATCTTTTTAGAGAAAGATAACATCTTAATCAAGCTCGTCGGATAACCCCCCCAAACACATCTTTTTCACGCGCAAAAGACGGAATAGATGAGTAATTATTTTCGGTTCACGAGGCCGCCGAGGCAAGGAGGCAGGCGTATAAATTGAGTAACCTCGTCCTGGTGATTGACAAAAGTGTTTTACATCGGCGTCCCTGAGATGTGCCTCGAGGTAGGGGCTGGTAATACAGGGCTGTATTATAGGAAAATCGGACAAAGGAGTGCAGCCATCTTTATGATCATTACCTATGATCCTTAGCCTTGTGGACCTGTTGGGTCCCCTACCTCAAGGCGGCGGGGCCTAGACTTGCAGTCTCTGAGAACGCACGATAACTAATCACTCCGATATCATCTTGAACGCTGCATGCAGAAAAGTCTTGTTTTGACACATCTTTTTTTTTTTTTTTTACATCTCTAGAATATATTTAGAATGTATGTAATAGTAGTATATCGACAATTACCCTCCTTTCTCGTAAATACAACATCTCCACTTGTGTCATCAAGTAATGGGAAAACCCCTGGTATATACAACACCAAAAAAAAAAACCTTAACATAAGAAAAAGAGAAGATAAACTCCAAGTTGCTCAAAAGCAAAAAAATAGAAGAGAAAACCCCCCCCGGAGCTATGATCAATCCAAAATAAAACCCGGGGTAATGAAGTGATAGGATATAAAACCGTTTATAACGTGATCATAAAATGCCGAAAGGAGAAAAAGAAGCGAATGAAAAGAGTGAAGAGGAGAGTGTGGTTAGAAGAGTGTCAAAAACCCAAAATACAGGTTACACGCACGGTATCATAAACGAAAAAGAGATTTGACAAAGAAAAATCAGGCCCCGTAAATGAAGTCGCGCATTTTTAACATCCAACAACCTCCCAGGAAAAAAAGAATAAATAATAGACACCACATGCACCCGTTTAACGCCGACCCAGAAATAAAAACAAAACACTAATAATACTAATGTAAAAAAAAGACAAAGAAAAAAAAAATTGAAAAACTCCAAAAACCCTTTTACTGAAAGGAAATAAACGAAAAGTATAAGAAAACCACAACACCGATGAATATCGCAAAATGATGTCCCTTTTTGTTTTTGGAATTTTCAATCAACTCCTTCTATCATGTTGTTCAAATGTATAACCGAGCTTTGTCGGCACAGTACTCGGTTAATAACCGCTCTAGGTCCACCAGTTTGAAAGGCTTCGTCATGAATCCCTTCATACCAATCCTCGATG